ATGCGGCTAGCTCCACATAGGATTGACTAACAGCATGTTATTTCTTTGGGTTAAGGCGTAACGTGTATTGCATTTGGTTCATAATAGCTCACATTTACATCATTGCCCTGCAAGATTATTATATACAGGACGTCCCGTTCCTGGTGTCACCACCTACACTCTTCCATTGATACTACCAATTGAGGCACTTTTGATGACATTAGCTCAATGCACAAAAGTGAGTGGTGCTGCTCGTCGCTGGGTTATATCATGCCATCTGTAATGATTCTATGCAAGCTTAATAGAATGGGCAATTCAATAGCAGGGGCAGAGATAAAGTCTTTGCATTTGCACAACAGCACAGGAAAACCCGAATAAGGGAAAACCTATGCCAAGGGAGATAAAAAAGAACAGCAGACATTGAAGCAATAGAGGATAAAGCTTGGTAGACAAAACTCGCTATCAAATAGACGTCGGTACGGTAACTGCCATGATATCATATACCGCATTTATCTTGGTCAAGTCTTTCAGAGCCACTGCTTTGCAGCCTGAAGATCCAATAGCTCCCACTGGAGATCAGATCTTAGTTAACACTGTATTACAGTGAGGATACCCCCAGCCAAGGTAGATAGATCACTTACATCGTAATCCCAGGCAATCACCAAGGGTTGGCAAATAACAAGAAGGTTAATCGAGGTCCTGATGTATATGTTAACATACCATTGGAGGATAGTCTGGAACACAGTCTTCTCTTACCCTCTCCAGCATTGGTGAGTTCTTTCAAGTCACTTTCTTAGCGAATTTGACGACAACACTTCTCCCCCACTTCCAGAGGGATTCATCTTCCAGACATTTCTTCGCAATTTTGCAATTTGCTTCGTTCCCATACTTGTCTGCCATGTCCATGTTGCTCATAATAAAGCCCATCGCTTTATCGATCGCACAAGACTTCATTCTCTCAAGTTCAGGTTTCTTGCAGAAGTTTGTCCTTTTCTCCGCCGCACATTGAGCCACAATCGCATCCGCTAACGGCTTTATTTTCGCTCTGTAGTTTGGTAATTTCAACCCCTTCTTTTGCAATTTGTCCCATAGAGGTATGAGTACCTGCTTCTCCAGAAATGGCCAGTCATCTGCTCCAGGACTCTTGCCCTTGGAACAGACAAGCTTATCGAAGCTTGGCCATATTTCTGTCTCCACCTTGGCGCCAACCCCCTTCATAGTATTCATGCATATCTCGTGCGGGAGACCGATACTGATTGAGAAGCCAGAGAATATAAGAAGAAAAAAGGAAACAAATCTCCACTGCATTATGATGGTTGGTATGGGTTTTGGATTTGAAAGTAACAGATGCGGATTGTTGATATGTCTGATGATGGGAGATCAGGGCTTTATAGCAAGGCTTTCTTTACTACGTAGAGCATTCAAGCGCGTGAGCCACTACTGGTCAATTGAGATGGGATCTACGACGTAACACAATAAAGAAGATCCCTTGCAGTCACAATATTGTGATTCAATGGTAGAACGCTGTATGTGGGGAATGCGATAAGCCTGCCAGGACTGCTCCTCTGCGCTTTGATTGGACCTCGGCGTGTGATCGGGCAGCCGATCTTATTTGTAGATGCTCAGTCACCGAGAAGTAGCGCAGGGCTTGCGATAACTAGTTCACCCTGTCCTTTGTAACTTCGTGATCCGATCGGCAGGACTATTGATTTGAACAAGTAGAAAAGCCCATCCAATGAAGGGTCTCAGACAGCGAGCGGGCGATCTTGCCAGATCGCCAGATCTACATGGTGATTCCGGGTGGTTCTATGTAATATTAATCTACTATAACGATGACTCACTTACGACAGTATACAATCATTTACATAAACGGTTCTACCAGAAGTATAAGATGGTGAGCTAAAAGGGAGTAGCGTTGTTCGACTTATTTTCCAGGAATTGAGTGCGAATAGTGTGAAGATTCAACTGATTTCGAAGACTACTGTACCAAGAGATACTTATTTCAGATGAACTCAGTAGTGGCGAACCCTATAGTTAGTTAACTATGCTGCAGTTTCCTTATGAGTAATACAGCAGGGCGATCTTCAAGCTATTGGCAGAGTGCTGGACCACATAAGTGACTAGGGAGTTATTACGAGAGATTTGGATTCTTGGAAAGATTCAACTTCTGCCTTTCTCCACCCACTATTGATTTTCTCTAGCGCTGCAACCAGGGGCAAGACATTGAACTCAACTATCACATCCAGGCTTGGCGGGTCGACTTGGCGCAGAATACCCCTGACATGTGTCAATGTCGCATTGAATTCTAGTTTATAAAAATGTTAGGACTACCTACTAGCGTACCCTGAAATGGAGGTATCGAACTAGAGTGGAGGTTCCCAAGATGGCTCATGCAATTCATTAGACTAATTGCTAAGGTTCTAATCCCATGTGCGCGGTGTGTGAATACCCCGGCGCTTACTTAGCGAGTACGTCGAGCCATACGGGCCAGTTGTGCAGGTGACCCTCGGGGTCGTAACAAAAAAGAAGCCAATGGTCGACAACCAAATGTGACAGAATGGGAAGGGGAATCTGTCGAGCGACAGAGAGATTCTGGCCATATGAACAGAAATGATCAACGAAACCTTGGCGGGCTCAGAAATGAATGATGAAGTGTATTGGTCGAGCCGATTTCGAGAATGACTATAAGTAAGGCAAATCACTCATGCTCTTCTACCGTTATACCTGCATGCCAGAAATGGCCTCCAGCGCTTTCATTCTTCGCACCAACATCCTGAACGCACCGCCGAAGGAAAGCGTGAAACCCCCGATCGCAGTCTTCTTCATATGTTGACCAATATTTCTTGATATGCGCCTTAAGTTCGGCAAAGAATTCCTCGATGGGGTTAAAATCTGGTGTCAAGTCCAGTGGAGACCAACCCGTCCGCCTATAACCCACCCGTTTATCGCACCCAGACTCATTAACGAAAACTAGATGAAACGAACGCAACTTTGACAGTTTGTGCTGATAAAAATCTCGTAACTGTGGATTTCGTTCGCTTGCTCTCTGCTATGCTTTCTTTTTCGACCACCCAGCCCGGTATAGTGCTCGTTTAATGCTGGATATCGAAGGTATCACGTTGAACTCGTCGAATACGAAGATAGCCATCTCCTCAACATAGAGACCGGGTTTTTCTGCGAGGTGGTCAACCAGGGCATCTACCATTACTTATGTGATACTCGATGGGCGGCTGGGAGCAATTGGGGGAGACCTGGCACTGCCGAATAACCGCATGTTCTTTCGGATGTTAGTAACAGAACGCTCGCTGCATTTGGCTACCTGGCCATTTGTGATGTGGTGTGTCTCTTTTTACTGCATAACATGTGAACAATAATGTCACGCTGCCAGGAATCGATATTTCGCGCCATCTAGATTGGGAGGATGGATGATATACTGGGAGGGGGGAACTCGAGGGAGAGGACTGCGTGAAGGGAACTATTTTTGGAGCTGTAATTAAACACGAATATACAACCCACTCCTGTTTTATACGAGTTTGGTATTATACCTTCGATATCGGAACATTGTTACAAGTGTTTTGGCTAACCAAAATAGGAGTAAGTATCATGTGATTAGGGTTGCAAAAGGCATCTCATATACATCCGTCATGGAAGGCAATAACGGACGGCATTGTATGCAATCTTCTATATCCACGCACTTCTATCATATTGACACCATTTATTTGTATCCCCTTTCTCGCGCATCCAACACTCCCTAACCACACCACCGACAAAATGATCACAAGCACAATTGAAATAGCCGCGCCGCCTGCCAAAGTGCGCGAGATTGTACGTAGCATTCCCAAAGGCCGAATTCTAATTCCTTGCTCGACAAGCTGACCAGTTGTCGCGCCCGCAGCTCCTCAACTTCTCAGCATACCCGGAATGGCATACGGAATGGCTCAAGGGGATCACCCTCAAGGACAGCACCAAGACCCCGCAAGAACTTTCCTCAGGAGACAAAATCGAAGTCAACATCGAGAACTTCAAGTTCGTCGCTGAAGTCAAGGTGAGAACAACAAACTTCCCCAAAGAAAGGAAAGGAAGCTGAAGACTCTCAACGCTCAAGGAGAACACCGAGAGCTTGTTTTCTTGGCAAGGCCCGCCCGTGTTTACAATTGCTGGTTTGCATAAATTCCATATCGAGCCGGCCAATGATGGAGCTTCGACTGTTTTCACGCAGTCTGAGGATCTCAAGGGTCTCCTTGCATTCATTATGAGTCCGTCTCTGCTTGGGAAGAAAATGCGCGCCCATTTCGATATCTTCCACAGGGATCTGAAGGCCCGCGCTGAATCGGCATAATTTAGGGGGGCTGGATTTGTTGCACACGCACAATCTGCCGTTTTATGCACGCACTTTCGGTTTGGGTTTGGGTTTGGGTTTGGGTTTTGTGTTATCAGCGCCTTACCTCCACTACATTCCTATGCACGACGTATACACACTTGCAGGCAAGGTATTGGCTCGGGAGATGTATATCCTGGTCACCGTTTCACCGTCTTTCAGGGATGGTAGACTTGGAAGCTTAATGAAATAAGGATAAATGAATGACTTCTGCGCAAAAATGAAAAACACGCCTTGTCAGTTCATCTGGCCTGCCCAATGACGGCAGAATAAGCGGTCTCATATTAAATTCGCTATATTGTAGCAATGGTCTCGCCGACAATGGCGCGATGGACTTGACCGGTCGTCAGACCGTGGTACAGTTGTGGCACACCTTGGATTGCAGCCTAGGGAAACCGGTTACACCTCACACCTGTGGCCCTGGGCTATACCGAGAGACGTATAGCAATGTGTCACTTCCTCGAGTATGTAGAAGACTGACAGACCGAGGGCTGAGTGAATGCCCACTTGGCAGACCAATTAAGCTGTGTTTGGATTGTGATGCTCATTATGACAGTGTTGCCAATGAACCTTTTTTCGGTGATCCAGGCTTTTTCACACAAGCCATGCTCTGCCCATAGAAAATGTTGAATAAAACTGTATCTCATATAAACTCAACGCTACTGCTGTATGGCGAGACCGACATTGAGAGGTCTGATAAAACCGATTGATCCATGAGATTGAAGACAGTGTCCCAATGAGACCGAAAGAGGTCTGCACTCTGCGGTTTCTCTAACCACAAAACATTTTGGATGTGGACAAGGGTGTCACTAAAGTTGCTCAGTTGTAGAGCAGCAGCTATATCTCGTGCCCTGTCCATGAACCACCGATGATGAGTCGTGCCAGCTGAAGCCACCATCCCGACCGCGGCAAACCAGACATCAAGTGAGTCAAATACACGACGCGTTGACGCCAGATGCTCGAGGTGCTCCATAAATCGGATGACAATCGTATTCAGTATGACTGCATGCGAGTAATATGTTGGTCCCTGAGCAATGAACATGTAGATTATGATTCCGTAGCGAATGGATTCCGTCATCGGTGATGGCGGCGGTCTTGTTGTAACCTGGGCAGATAGTAGGAGTCGGTGTATGACAAAACAGGTGAGGTCGTGAAGTTGTGTGGATGGGAAAGGTATATTGCGCGCTCGCCGGAAGATGTTGCGTAGACGACGGAAGACATTCTCAACGGCATAGTCTACTTCGATGGTATTGAGATCAAATATTTGATCGTCAAGCGCGGTCGAGTCGAACTGCCATTCTGCAATAGGGGGGATGCCATCTCCGATGCCGAAGTCATCTTGTGTCTCGAATTGAGGATGACCCATGATGAGCATTGATACCCTTTGCAACATGTGAATAGCGATTCTATGGGTGGCAAGGAGTTGGCTTACCAGCTAATCATTCTCGCGGTAAGCGGGCTTGTCTGCCTTACTGCGTTGATGCCGCCTCTCATATCGACCAGCTTTTTCAACCCATTAACATGCATTTCGCCAACTTTTATATTGCCTTTGCCGAACTAAGAGCCACATAATCAGGGATTTGTTCGAATTCTAACACAGTAGCAAACCAGGGTGCTGTAGTGTCTCACCTCGATGGTTGCCAAGGTGATGACTGAGTTCATAGTCCCATCTTGAACAGCTAGTGACATATATTCAACTTTTCGTCGTAGTAAAGCCACCGAGTCTGCCATGAGAAGTTCGGAAGTCTGAAAGCCCTTCTGGGCCAACAACTCTTCGTCAAGACATGCTGTCTGTAGAGAGACGTGGAATAGTGCAGGATCCCCTAGGGCAAGTGGCCACCAAGAGATCAGAAACGGATTTGAAGTCGCATTAAGGTCAAGAGGGTAGTACTGGAAGGCGATTTTGTGGAGGACTAAATGGGTAAGCTAAGCTTTCCTCGACAATGCTCGATTGGCGGCCTACATACAGCTGTATATCAGACGTTGGACGTGTTCCCGAGGAAGTCTAGTCTGTGGATACGAATCAAAAGGATCAAGAGACCCGAATCTGTAGTTAGTTAAAGTGCCAGATCCATCTAGAGCGCTTGTTGATGTCCCATTCTGCCACCCGGAAGTTGCCGGCCCGGTCGAGGGTTCGTTTGCATAGGCGCACTCGACTTGGCGTTTGACGCAGCGGGAACAGCGCGGTGTACGAAGATCGCAGCTGGACTTTGATTTGGCACACGCGTCACAGGACCGGCGGAGAGATTGGCGCATTCTGAAAAGATATATTGTGCATCCAAAGGGGGCCTGTGTTCGCTCTAGGAATAGCTCAAGCTGGGCCCTCACACCGCTTTTGATCTCACGATTCGAATCAGAGTTGGAACGGCGCAAACGTAGCTTGACAAAGGTCGGCTCAATGTTGAAGTTTCCAGGCGATTATTCCGTTATATGTGGGACCTCAGGTTCAGGTCCCGAGTGCGAATCGAAAAAGGACTAGACCCCGCTCTACCCCTGCTTGGCATCGGAGTCTAGTCCTAATTGGGTAATTTGCATAATCTGTGGATAACTATCTGGGCCCACAAGTATATCATGCCATTCCTAAGCAACACTGCCGTACTTGTTAGGTGTTCTCTGTCCTTTCAGAAGAAGAGCCAGTTTGTCAACTTGCCCCTATCATCTACCATCATGGACTCGAATATGGCTTTTGAGATGGCCAACACCTCAATCGCCCAGAATGAGCTGCCGCAGATATGGCCTTCCAACCAACCTCAGTCCCAAAGCTACCTGATGACCTCCTTGATGAGGTTGTCAGTTTGGCAATATGCAGTGACATTCCTAATCGCCGTATTAGTCTATGATCAAGGTAGGCTAAGCCTTTGAGACTATAAGAACTCGCTGATGCCGTCTCTAGTGATGTATATCAAACGGAAAGGCTCTATAGCTGGACCTCCACTCAAGATTCCGCTCATGGGCCCCTTTATACAAGCTCTGCATCCGAAGTTTGAAGGGTATCTTGCGCAGTGGGCAAGTGGACCACTCAGCTGCGTATCTGTCTTCCACAAGTGAGTGCTCACGTCTTCGTCTCATCGAACTTTATCAAACCAATCAAGCTGTCCAAACTAACGCAATTTATTCAGATTTGTCGTTCTAGCCTCCGATAGAGACATAGCCCACAAAGTGTTCAAGTCGCCCACATACGCCGAGCCATGTATAGTGCCGATCGCAAAGGATATCCTAGGCCATAAAGCATGGGTCTTTCTTCAGGGTAGAGATCACACCGAGTACCGCAGGGGGTTGACGCCCCTATTCACCAATAGGGCTATGGCTACATATCTGCCGGTGCAAGAGAAGGTGCTAGGCGATTATTTTGACAAATTTGTCGCCGCTAGCAAGGCGAATCAAGGAAAGCCCAAGGAATTCATGACCATGTTTCGCGAGATCAACTGTGCACTTTCTTGCCGCACTTTTTTCGGTGATTATATCTCCCAGGCCGCGGTCAAGAAGATTGCAGACGATTTCTACCTTGCCACAGCCGCCCTGGAGTTAGTGAACGTGCCTCTGTCGATGTACATTCCGTTCACCAAGCCCTGGCTCGGGAAGCGGACAGCCGACGCTGTCCATGCCGAATTTTCAAAATGCGCGGCTGCATGCAAAGCAAACATGGCGACAGGCGCGACGCCTACGTGCATCGTAGACCACTGGGTGCTCCATATGATGGAATCCAAGCGATACCACGAAAGAATCGCCGCGGGGGAAACGGACGCCGAGAAGCCGACGAACATGATCCGCGAGTTCACGAATGAGGAAATCGGAGAGACCTTGTTCACATTCCTCTTTGCGTCTCAGGATGCGTCGAGCAGTGCCACGACTTGGATTTTCCAAATCCTGGCCCAGCGGCCGGACGTGCTTGATAAATTGCGTCAAGAAAATCTGGACGCTCGCGGTGGTGATAAGAACAAGTCTTTCGATCTTCCCATGCTCGAGTCGCTCACCTACACCAACGCAGTCATTAAGGAGCTTCTGCGTCACCGTCCACCCGTTATCATGGTTCCATACCTCGCGACGAAGAACTTTCCTGTCACGCCCAATTATACCGTTCCCAAGGGCGCGATGATCATCCCATCCTGTTATCCAGCTTTACATGATCCGAATGTTTACCCTAATCCCGATAACTTCGATCCCGAGCGTTGGATATCCGGGGATGCCGAGTCCAAAACTAAGAATTGGCTAGTATTCGGTGCTGGACCACACGATTGCCTCGCCAAAAAATACGTGCCGTTGTCAATGGCTGGTATGATCGGAAAAGCGGCGCTGGAACTTGACTGGAAGCATCATGCCACAGAGAGATCAGAGGAGATTCGAGTTTTTGCCACCCTGTTTCCAATGGTTAGTACTGCTATTGATCCATCTCAAGGACCATTCCGCCCGTATCTTGTGCTGACATTTGACATAGGACGGATGCCCGCTGGTATTCACAAAACGTTCATAGAGGCGTTCCTTGCATTTCCTGGGATGGAGTTGAGTTTCTGCGTCCTACGCTCTTTCGCAGTGGAATGGTGCCATTCGTGAGGACGTTTCTAGGACCGTCGACCTGTAAAGTCGTGTTTATCATGTTCGTATATTTGTCTTTCTTGGGCCATCGTACAAATACATATTTCGCATAATTCCAAAATGTACAAAAGCTTCTCGACTTACCCTGTTATGGATTCCCTTCCTTCGAGACCAGGTGGAGGATCTTTTTGACAAGCTCCTGAGTCCCATAAGGTTTATGGATGATATCATCCATTCCAGCACTGAGCATTTCCTTCTGTTGTTCGTCTCTGACATTCGCTGTGACTCCCAGAATGGGTACATGTCCTCCACTTTCCTTTTCAATGTCACGGATTGCTTTGGTGGCGCGTTTGCCATCCATCACCGGCATCTGCTGGTCCATGAGAATGCAGTCAAATGAGTCTTTTTTATTCGCATCCACAGCCTCCTCCCCGTTGCTCGCTTCAACTATGTTAAAGCCCAGTGTATTCAACCTGCGCGAGATAATTCGTCTGTTGATAATGTTATCCTCAGCTAAGAGAATACGCTGGCCGTCGCCGGTTAGTTTCTTGTGATCATAACGCGATGGAGGCTTTTGACCCGTTCTTTCGATCTGCTCGTTCTCTACCTCGTGGGCTATACTTTGAGTCCAAAGTGTGTCTGCGTCCTTTGGGCCACCTGGCTGTGCCTCAGAGATGCTATCTTCAGGGGGGTTTGCCGACATCTGGGGTTCTTCTGTCGTTTCATCCACACCGCGCATTTTATTTCCCATTGTCTGGATATCAACACAGAGCTTATCGATTGCGGAAATCTCGACACTATCATCTTCTTCGCCAGCTTCGTTGGTTGTTCTGCGTACTTTGAAAAAGAACCCGAAGGTACTTCCGTGGGATTTCTTGGAGCTCACACCAATCTCACCCCCGTGTAGGTGACAGAGCTTCCTACACACATTCAGCCCAAGACCAGAGCCACCGTAGATGCTCTCGGTTTTGGGGGTAGCTTGGTTGAAACGTTCGAAGAGGCGTTTCTGAGCTTGCTCAGTGACGCCAATACCCGAATCCTTGACGGCGACCATGATATATGCAACTTCGCCACTTCCCCATTCGGAATTGTTAGTCGCGTCTTGGCGGAGCTCTGATTCACCTGAATCGAAGAAGACAATATTTGGTGGGTAGGAAGTTGGACGTTCGATAGAAGCAGCCACCGAAACTCGGATCGATCGCTGACCCTTCGATTGCGCGGTGAATTTGATAGCATTCGAGAGTATGTTGATGAGAACTTGGCCCATTCGATCTAGGTCTGCCATGACCCAATCAATGCCGCATTTGGCATAGGTAACATCGGTCTTGTATTCGAAGTGTATTCTGTGTTTTCGGAGTTCGGGTCGGAATATCGCCATCGGAATAGTGAGGTGTCGCTGTGGCTGGACCTTTCGTGGCGACAGCGGCAGCATCGACGCGTCAAGTTTTGAAAATGTGAGAACGTCATTGACGATTTTCTTTTGATGCCTGATGCAGAGACTAATTGTCTCTGTTGCCTCAGTGATGTCTATGACTGAGATATCACCCGGGTTCTTGTTATAGATTGCCTCTTGAATATCCTCCGTGCAATGTACTATCGCAGAAAGAGGATTGCGAATTTCGTGGCTGATCATATCGATGAATCGCTCTTGTTGCTTCTTGCGTTCCTGTGCCTCTTCGGCAGCGTGCTTTTGTAGGAGCTCTGCCCTTTTCTCCGGGGTGATGTCTGCGACTGTACAGATGAACACGCCATCGTCGCCTAGCCCAAAGCATTGTACACCCTTATCGTCCAGCCGATCCAAAGTCATGACACACCAAACCGAGTCCGGGTCGCGCGTGTGGTATTCCAGACGCAGCGGTCGTTTGGAGGTTGCAACCTCCCGATACCCTGTGGACACCCGGTCGTAGTCGTCAGGATGGACGGAGCGTAACCAACACTCAGAGAAGTTGACGCTGGGGTGTGGAATGAGTTCACGGAACCGTCGATTCACGGAGATCAGTTCGTATCGGTGGGTGAGGATGGCGACGCCGTTCGGTAGAATGTCGGCCAGCTGTTGCGCTGAGACATTCTGATTGAAAGAGAAAGTCATCTATTTCTTCGCGCCGAATTGCGCTTCTTCCAATATCAATGGAAGAGACGTCAGAGGCTGATAGAAAATGCTCGATGACTGCTCAATTATATACTACCTGCAAAAGATTCGGGTAGGCGCATGGCAGGTGAGGCTGAACCACGATGTTGTCGATCTTCCGTCTGTAGATTGCTTGTGTCTGTAAGCCAGCAAGCCAATATATGCTGGCTTATATGAGATCCCTTCAAATATGGAAGGGTATGACGATATATAGTGTCGTACGTCATTGTCCCTCTTCGGTCTACTTCTAATGTGGGGGAAAGTATTTCAAACGGTGTGATTGGCAGAAGTGAAAGTGATTCCACTGGAGTGACACCCCTGGATGCTTGGCACGTGCCCTGCATGCTGACGTCATTTAAAATTCGATAACTAGTGTGGCAAGTAAGCTTGGTGGGGAAGATGATGATATTATGAACCCCTTGTTGGGGGTGCTAACTAGCTAACTATGACTAAGCTGTGATAATATGCCGGGTCTCAAAAAATCTCGGCCTCCGGCTGAGAAAAAAGGAAAATTCAATAAAAAATAAGAATAAAAAATGATAAGAAAAAGAAAAGCGCCGTCAGTTGTCGCAGGCCCGGGGCGGAGTGTAGATGTCCGAGGGTATGAATTCACGCCCGGGGTCGTACAGTGGCCCCTCGGTGGCCGCTTCGAGAGGAGCTTCGCAGTGGTTGCCACGTTCTTCATCGCCTAGCAGTAACGGGCTCTCTGGTTGGGCTTGGTCGTCAGGAGTAGCGCTTTGTTGAAGTTGGCAGGGGCGGTGGAACAGGTTTTCCTAGCGTCTAATGGCTTAGCGCTGAATATCCGGGAAACTGCTGAGCGTGTTCGAGATTGTCATAAGGGTGCCAGCGGCAACGGCTTCGGTCTTCTTGGTCAGAGCGGCCTCTTGGAGTTGCAGCTGGCGATATCTAGCCATATGTTCGCGTAACCTTTTTAAATCCTCGATCTCTGGCTGTACCCGGTCCATATACTCCATTATGCCTTTATAGGGAAGGATGAAATCGCGGAGGATCTTTTCCTCGGTATCAGCTTGGCACAGTTGGCTTTATACAGCTGGCAATTAGCTCTGAGGTTTAGGAATGTCCGGTAAAGAGAACGGAGCGGAAGAGCTGACGCTGACTATATCGCCAGGTTAGTCCTACGTGGTGGGCTGGCATTCTTACTGAGTACTATAACTAGACCAAGTTGGACGATTTGTATTCTAGTATAAGCGTTGAACTGGGTCCATAATCTTCATCTTTTTTAGGTCTATTTAGGAGAAAGTAAAAGACAGCACTTTAGCTAAGTATAAAGGAGACTATGTAGAGAATTCCTAGAAAAAACCATAGGAAGGTCTTAGTCCTTATAGGAGCATAGTGACGTGGTGGTGATTATCTAAGCCGATGTCCAGTATCTTTAAGTTCGTTTCAGCTTTCTAGAGTGTGGTATACTAACCGTAGTAGTTATATAATTAGCGTACCATAGAACGGGGGTACGGAAATTCGGCTTATTCTTTAGTATGGCGGGCTTAGAATACCGCTACTAGGTTAGTAACTGTATCCTCTGCGAAAGGATAACCTAGGACAATAGGTCTAATTATAAAAACCGGGTTTTCGATTTTAAGCTTTAAATCTGCCTTCGGGACTATTAGGTAGCTATATTTTACGGCTGCACGAAGGCTAATAAATGCATAGTAACATTTCTAGATTAGCGTATATAGGAGTCCATAGAAGTCGATTTATAGGCCGGGGTCCTATGGTATCCTACTAGCACATGGTTTACTATTAGCGTCCTAGACAGCACAGAACTCAGCGCGCTTCTTCTAAGATAGTTCCTTTATCGCTATATAAATAAGCTTATCGCTTAGTAGAACGTTATGGTTATTAGGTAGTACCAGCCTTCCTTTTAGATTGCGCTTGTATCTTATATATAAGGGTAACTGAGCGATATCTTATAGAGATAGTCTACTGCCTATAATAACTAGGACCCAGTTACTAGTCTAGATTAGCCTATCTAGTTCCAGTTTAGTATAAGCGGTATCACGAGATTATATCATATAGGAATCGTCGAACACATATCCTAGAAGGTAAAGTATATCAGTCGCTCCCTATAACGGACTAAGGTATAGGAGTACCTTTCTTTTCGGTATAATGAGTCTAGTATATAAGAAAGAGAATGGTTAATATAAAAAAAGAAGTAATAGAGGTAGGAAAAATGGAATAGGTGCGTTAAGTAGTAAGTAAGAGTCGAATAAGAGTCAGAAACTCAAATTAGAGTAAAAGTAGGAGTCGGAAGTAAAAGTCAAGTGATATAAGGTAGTAAGAATAGATAGTAATAAAAGTAAAAGGAAAGTAAAAATAAAGTAAGGAAAACGTGGTACTTAGGAACTCGCTAGGGGTACGCCCTAATACTCCTTAAAGTCTTTAATAGCCTTATTATATCCGATACAGTCCTCTTCCTATACCTAATAGTTATCCCTAGCTGATTGGCCTTTCTAGTAGATTAGATACTTAGTGATTTAATACCTAGTACCATTATAACGGGGTCGACTAGGCGCATTAACGATACGCTTGGCAAGAATATAGTCGACCTTGTAGACGATATCTTTAGGGAAACACTTATCTGTAGTCAGGTGGTATTCGTTATCTGGTTAGTACTCCTAGGGGTTATTACCGTCTAAGGTAGGTTCTAGGTATACAATACTAATAACTAGGTAGATTCTTAACTTAGTTAGAATATTCAAACGATAAGTAAGCTTCCCGACGTGTTTAAGTACTTTAAAACGCCCGATATAACGCTGTTGTAGTCGCCTTAGTAAAACTTAGTTTAGCGGTATATTATATCTATGTCCTAGCTTAAGATAGACTTTATTACCGATATTAAAAAAAATCTGCCTATAATAGCGGTCGTATTGGCGTTTTATATATATGGTAGCCTAAGCGGTAGAATACTCGGTATCTGTACGTACGGCGATATTAGGAGCTGTGGCTTAGTATAAAAGCGATTAAGGGTAGTATAGTTCGATACTATATAAGAGTTTATAAGGTAAGTAACCTATTATTGCGCTAACTAAGCTATTTAGTACAGCTTAGAGGGCAGGTAATAGGTTTAGCTAATCTTCATTAGGGTAAGTAGCGACTATATGCCGTATAGTAACTTCGGCTATCTGGTTAGTATATTCTAACTGACTGTTAGTTTATAAGTAATAGGCGGTAGTAAAAAACAACTTGGTATAGATAAGGTCGAAAAGTGCTTTCTAGAGGCCCTATATAAACTTAGGGTCGCGATCGCTAATAATCACTATAGGAATCCCCTAATTAGCTATCTACTAGAAAGAGAGAGTACCTAGAGCCTAATCTTTACCGTCCTAGTCTACGTAGCCAGGTATCATTCCTATTAACTTAGTGAACTTGTTGGTTATAGTTATAGCTGTGTTATATCTATTAGTCGAAATAGGTATCGCGACGATTAGATCTAAAGTAATAGTATAAAAGGGTATCGGTAGGGCGATAATTGGTTGGAGAGAACTATATAGGCGATAATAGTGGATCCTGTGCTCTAAATAGATAGGGCAATGTTTAATGTACTGCTTTAGGAGCTTGGCGCCTTTGTAGAATGTGATACCGCGAAGCTTATGCTAAGCTCTGTCGAAACCCTGGTATATCTACTCGTTATAAACCAAGTTAAAAATTTCCTAAGTTATAGATCGGGGTAGATATAGACTCTCCTTACCGTTAGAATTTATGAAAATAATTAAGCCATTCTCTAGGTAGTAGGGTAACTTCTTAACTTAGGGATCCTGCTGGGCGTTAATACTTTCTAGAGTATCGATTAGGGCTAACTAGCGAGTGTCTGACTGGTATCCTTGTAAGATACAATCCTTAGTATCGTCGCTTAGCTAGAGTACCGATGCTATAAGGAGGTATACTGTAGGTTGGTCTGCCATAGGTTGTTTAAATATATACAGCGCTGGGATATCCTCGAGATTGTCTTATATACCGGGGACTAACGGGTCCGTATATAGTAGGTGGGAAAGAGTATTAGCGATCTTATTAGTTTTTCCTAGTCTATAGAAGACGTGTAGGCGAAACTGTTAGATAAACTAGGACGCATAGACTAGGTGAAGATTTTGGTGTTCTAAAGAAATAGAACTTAAGCTTATCGCTTTAGTAATACCTATAGTATTACTATGGTCGGTATATACTATAGCCAGAAGGTCGCTAGGATAGGCCTCTACCAAGTGGTATACCTTACAGAGGGTCTAGTAGAGGGTAGAAACCTTAAGCTTAGTAGGCTAGTAATTCTTCTCTATATCTGTAAGAAGTCGGCTGAGGAATATAATCGGCTGGATCTCTATAGCAGGGGGTGGCTTTGAAACATCCTTATGAGTGAATGTTATCTTTATATAATAGATTGTGGTACTGTGCCCTGTTTCCTTTAAACTGTCGGTATCGATATAGAGCTAGCGTGTAGGATTATAGTATACTAGCTATTTAGATTCATAGAACTCGGCCTAGAGTAGACGAAAACTCTCGAGCTTAGCTTAGGAGGGTTTATTAAGAATAGCTTATATACTCCACGCTCGGCGCTAGGGGCCTTTAATTGGGCTTCCTTTCAGTAAGTTTATCTTACAGACTTAGAGTGGTTCCGATTTCTGTATATAGCTTTTGATATAATAGCGAAGATCACCTATTATTCTAAGGTATATTTCCAGCTGCTTATATATATACGGAAAAACTAGTAAGGTTATTACCTTTACCTTCTTAGCGGTTGTTAATATACCTATAGAGTCAATGTCTTTACCTAGTAGGGTTAAACTTAGAAACCTAATATATACTTTCTTCGGGTCCAGAGTAATATTGAATTCCTCTAGTTTTACAAATAGTAGGTGGAGTTTAGTAACATACTTATTAAGCGTATTGCCGACCGCGAAGATATTATTAATATAGGTTTAACACTATTCTCGAAACGCGCGGAGTATATTATCTATCTAGCATTATACGTAGGCGATAGAGTTTAAATTACCTATAGTAATAACATAGAGAACTTCTTAACCGCGGTACAATATAATAGCTTAGTAGCTATAATAGTTAGGGTAGATATACTATTAATAGAAGAATTTTGCCGCGTCTACAATTGTAATAAAATACTTACCTTTTACTAAAGTAATAATCTCGTCTTATCCTAGTAATAGGTATAGGTCTAGAACCAAGTTCTTATTTATTAGGCGGTTGTTAACTACAGTATAACCGACCTGTTAGAGCTTAGCGTTACCCTTATTATCTGTGCAAGTAACCCATTTCTATATAATAAAAACAGGGTTTACGCCCTAGGCTTAGTATTTAGTAAACAATATCTTTCCTTAAGTATATAGAGTATCAAATATATTGTCGATAACTTATTAGCTTTCTCTTACCTATCTATAGACTTATAAACGCTGTGGCTTTAAACTAGGGACTGTTAGGAGTCTTATCTATTCGTCTTATAGGATATCTATAACGCCGGGGTTAGACTAAATGTTATATTACTTATAAATATCGTAGAGCACTACAGCTATTTTAGGCGTCCTATAGATTATAATACCATTAGGTAGTACTGTTTCTAGTAGATATCCCGGCCGAGCGTAGGCTATAGATATTAGTAGGACCTTCTGTATATCCAGTATAAAAATAGTATCAGAAAGTCTATTAGGAAGTCTATCTAGCAGCCAGGGTAAGTTGTTAATAGCAGCTAGATAGGCAGTAATAGAGTTGTGAATATCTCAATTAATTAATAGGGGGCGGGGCTCGACCGCTTAGGGCTGCGATACCAGAGGCGTCACTTCAGTAGAAACTTAGTAGGTAGATATAAAGTCCAGCTCTAAAAGTTAGCCTATACAATCCTTCTTCTTAATAACTTGTGTTCGGTCGGTATTATTAACGGCGTATATATATACAAAACCGGCGTTAACCATCTATACCGGAATCTTAAACTTACTATTACCTAGCTTAAAAACGAAGTCACAATCCTTTAGTAAAATCGACTTCACAATAATAGGGATCTGTGCCGCCTAGCATAGGGGAACCTCAATTTTAGAAGAAGTGTAGACCAGTCTTTTACTTATATGGTATGGTTTTGCGCAGAGGGCAATAGGAAAAGTCAAGTTTTCGCAGGACTTAATAATCGCCTAGGAACACGGGAAATTGAGTATAAACCCTTCTAGTCCTAGAATATCCATACTAATAAGAAGCTAGGCATAGAGGTCCTTAACAACGTAGGCCTCGATTCATAGCTCTACAGCCATATCTTTATTCAGAAAGTAAACTTAAATCACAATATAGCAGTCGGACAGGTATTAGGAACCGATCCCACTTATAGGAATCGGACTAATAGGATACTAGGGGTATTAGAGCGATACCGCTAGCTTTAAATCGATTAAAGTTATAACACATCCGGAGTCGAGGCAGCAAGTGTTTAGCTTACTGGGGCTTCCAAGTCCGACCATAGCCGTTATATATCGCTAGGATCGAAATGTATAGCTGGGGATATAGTCGGTCTATCTAGCCGAGTGGATGATACGATAAGTGGGATTCGCGAAATTAGCGACAGCTTTAGCTAGTATAACAGCAGTAGCTTAAGGCTTACAGCCGTCAAGATACTAATACAGCTTAGTATTCGACTTAAAAACCTATAAATAGGATAAATAAGTGACTGAGTACTCACTATTGACTATATATAGCTAGGCCTATACCGGCGGATCGGCCTAGGCTCGAAAACCGTATTAGTGGTTATTATCCTATAGGCCAGCAGGGTCAGCGAAATTCACATTATATAGGTCCTCGTCGGCGTAAAAGTTATCCTCGAAATCCTATTAATCGTCGTCATTAACTAGGACGTCGTCCTAATACTCCTCTAGGCTATTATCATTAGCTTAGGAGTAGTCATTCGACTAATAATAGTCAGTATCTATATCCATATAGTATACCCACTAAGGTTTATTCTAAACAGCACGCTAGGAGTTCCCGGAGCCGTTACAGCCGGACCATTAGTGGCTAGGATTGTTCCAGGTCTACTAAGCTTAAACTCCCTACTGTGGACGTTATTATCTCTAAAAGGTTTAGGGGCCTTGGTTACTTTATACTGGGTTCTGGGGCTAATACTAATAGGACTAATATTAGGCTCCTGTAGCTTGGTACAGGCGCTAAGGAGTCTACTAAGCCTAGCCACAGGGCGCTGGAGCCTATTATTATCTATATCTAGCCTAGCTTTAGGGTAGACCTTAATAGTCTTAGGCTGGCGAGCGGTTATAGCCGTATAGGCACTGAGGGTAGCCTTAGCGCTAGTCTTATCAGTGATATAGGGCCGAATTGTCCTATCGCGGCCTATTATTTCTAAACCTAGTAGTCAACTGACTCTAGCGCTTGGTTACCATATCTTTCCAGTCTTGATAGTGGTAGTCAAGGCTATTCATAAAAGTGACTAACGAGGTAGTCTCAGTTAGCTCTAGGATATTGTAACGAAGCGTAGGCTCTAGGTTCTAGCGAATTTATAATAACTGGTCGAGAACATCTATCGTACCCATAGCTTTATATAGGCGTAATATACCCTACACATATTCTCTTAGGGTACGGCCTCAGCGTACGTTATCCCATTCGTATATATACTTATCAAGCTGGAGAAGGGCCTCGGTACGGTTGGGTCTAAAACGCCGCGTTATTATAGAAAACCATCCATCCTAGAGTAGAACCTAGTTTATAAGGCGTTTTTTATCTGTGGTCAGCTCCTGCGAATACCATCGGAGCGCATTACCTCGTAGGTAGCTATAGATATTCGCTTAGATAATAGCTTCCGACTTTAGGAGTATTAGGTCTATCATACAATCTATAAACGTATATACGTTAGAGTAAACGCAAAGATTTTAGACTGTATCCATTCTATCCTTAAAACTCTTCGAAGGATCGAAAACGCTAATTTCGGACGCTTTCCACGAGGTATCGGTAGTAGCTAATTGGCCTAGGGAACCTTGCTCGCCCTAGGGACCTTGGTTACCTTAAGGCCCGCGAAGAGCGTTAGCATTATTCCGAAGGCTTATCTGTACAGCTTTCTCGATAAGCTCCGTAAACTGTGCCATATCGAAACCGGGCAACGGTGGGGAAGCAGCCGGAGTTAGCGTGTCGCCTGTATGGCCGGGACCCTGATTTCCGTTATTACGGCTGGGACCTGGACCTCCGTTATTTACCATTTTTCGCGGGAGGTCAGAGAGTTTGGCTTCCTGTAGCAGGCTCGATAGACCTACTATAGGGCTGGCCTCGCTGTTGTAAAAACGTGAAGTTAATCGTACTCTTGACTATACTGGGGGTCGTTCCGGGGTTAGGTGTTTAATGCCGGCCTCGTGAGAGTGGAGGTCCGCTTGGTCGTCTTCGGCTTGTTCGGTTCCTAGAGACTGGACTTCCGCCTGGTCGTCTTCTGCTTGTTGGTCTTCCGGAGACTGGACTTCCGCTTGGTCGTCCTGTAGAAGGTCTGTGTGGCTGTCCTTAGCCTGTGGTGCGGAATTTTCGTCCTCGGTTCGGAAAAACTTGCTGTTGTAACTGTCTGGCCGGGGACTGAAACGAGGCTGCCGTTGTGTAGTAGCGGGCCTGTGCGCGTAGCGTATGACAGCAGTAGCTTGGGCAGTCGGTCGGTCCGAAATGGGCGTCGAAGACTGGGGTGTGGAAAGGTGTATTACAGCAGCAGGTTGGGCAGTCGGTTGGTCCGATACAGACGTCGAAGATTGAGGTATGGAAGCCGGTGAACTAGGAGGCTTGCTCGTAGTTCGCTTAGGTCGGGGTCTCCCGAGCGGACACGCAGGCTCGCTCGACAGAGGGGTTATAGGACTTGGAACGGCGAGGTGAGACGTCAGACGGAGGAAATCCTTGACGGCCTTGTTGAGTATAGACCTGTCGATGGGCCAGGAAGGTGGAAATGGATCCTCTGAAGATGGAAGGATGACGGAAGTGGATGGCGAGGTTGAGGGATTGGCGGGCCCGGCAGGTAAAGGGGTCAGGATGATGATAACGCGGGAAAGTGTATCTGCGTCGAAATCACCTGACCAGGGGCGTGCCTCCTGGCGATAATTGTCGAACTGGATTGCAAGCTGGGTGGCCCGACGAGTACGCTTGTCCATGGATTGTTATAGTAGCGGCTCGGCACTGTGATCGACAGCCTTACCGTAGCGGCTTGGCACTGTGATCGACAGCGTGGTCGACCGCCGATCGTGCCAGGCTTGGTGACCTCTGACCTCGGCACACAGGGGAACCCCTGAGGTGGTTGAACTTGTTAAAACAAACCCGAGAGAGATCCTCTCGGAAGAAAAAAAAACTCTGGATGAAACCAGGACGTGCTACCATAAATGTGGCAAGTAAGCTTGGTGGGGAAGATGATGATATTATGAACCCCTTGTTGGGGGTGCTAACTAGCTAACTATGACTAAGCTGTGACAACTAGTTAACCGAGCCCTAGTTAGAAAAGATCCGGCTTTCATAAGCTCTGCTTTTTTCTTTTTTATGTGGGTTTAATGCATAATAATGGCATGTGATTTTCTGCTCATGATTTTGGAATATCGGTGAATTATGCATAGTCCCTATTCAGGTTGACTGCGAGACACCTCATAATTCTAGGAACGCGAGAGTACGAAGAAGATTAAGGGTTGTTACAAAGCCGGGTCTTTGTCGTGATGCAAAACCATTGAATAAGTCCAGCCTAGTGCCCAAAATAATGTATGAAAAAAAAGGTGAAATGTGGGTGTTTTGAGAGCGCCCCGAGGTGTAAGAGTTATATGTCAAATGCAGAACCGCGAATACTATAACATTCTATTCTTGCACCATGAAGGCTCTCTAACTTAGAATATTGTAAAACAGGCTATGTGGGGAAGGAACCATGTGTTGAATCGAGCTGTTGACTAGGGAACAAAGGCATTCATCCACATCGGGCAGTAAAGCTACCGCGACATATATAGTACATAATCATGCCCAATCATCAATGGTCATGCTGATCATGTTGGTCAGAGCTTTTGCTTGACTAGCGATCAGCTTGGCAAAGCAGGAGAGGATGTCCCTATTGCTCACGATCGGCTTGGCAAAAGTGATCCGAGTGTTGGAGGGGTAGTTACTTCGCACTCCGTTGGTAGGTTGGAGGGGTGGCTCCCTTACATACCATATATCAATTATTTGCCAGTTTGACGAATTCAGAAAATAGAAAGCCTTTATCCACAGCCACAGTATAGGAGGAGTGAGGACTGCGCTCTTTTATTAGAGAGCGTACTCCGTATGCATAACGGAGTACGAAATGCAGAAACTGCAAAAAGCACAAATGGGAAGATTTTGAAATTTTCGACAGTGGAGAATGGTTCCCCACTCGGAGTCAGAGGTCTAGAAGACCCTGTGGGTGATGAACGTGCTGTCGCGGAGGAAAAATTAGCGTGGCCAATCTCAATTTGACTACGGAGTAGATACCCGCAATGGTAGAAATGTAACATATTTCCTACAAATCATACACTAAGTAATAGCTGGATTTATCTCTTTTAGCCAGGCTCATATATCTTTTAAACAATGCCGGCCTTGGAAGTAGCCCTGAAAATATCAAAGTTCGCTAACGAGCCCTATCGGGATCCCGTGGGCCTTAGCGCTCGGCCCGATAACGTTTAAGTTTCTTTTTTTTTAAGATTAAAGGTTTCAAGCTGATAGCCACTTTCAACGCGCCATTGATGCGTTGGCTCTACAGACCGTGAGGGAAATGGAATGGTCACGCGGCATATGCATTGCGTTATCAAAGCCACATTTTATTCATAATAGTCGTACACTATCTCGCATGTGCGAGTGATAGGGCCAGTTATTCTTCCTCTCCACACCTCGTGGGTCTTCCTATCTTAAAGAGGTAACCCGAGAGAACACGCTCCATTCTAAGATCTTACTTGAAAAGGTAATCCGAAGGGCCTCACTCCACTTTTTAGACTGGATCGATTGAAGATTTTGATTTTTAGTTTGATAGTAAATCCTATATTAGTATGAAAGTAGGTGCCAGTACTACCCTCGCTATTCGTTTCCATCTTCATTCTATCTTCACAATCACAATGGGCATTGTTGACTATCTCACCCAACCGCGTGTCCATCAGGTACATGGTGGTGATGAAACACCCACCATGGAAGTCCCAAAAGTAATCGAGCCCAATATAATCTCTAGTCCGGACTTTTCAGGCGCTGTTACACCTGCGCACATTCTCCCTTCCCCAGCTGGTAGCAAGGATCCTCTTATTTTTGAGAAGATCCCGCATCAGTTTGGCCGTCTGGGTTCTTGGAGAGGGTGTTTGATTTTGTTTGTTACCTCCGGCTCTCAGTTTCTCGACAATGTCTTCATGACAAGCGCCAACATTGCCCTGTCGGCAATTCAGCAGGATTTCGGCGTGTCTAGTACTGATTTGCAATGGATGATCTCTGCATACACCTTGTCGTTTGGTGGCTTCCTTTTGTTGGCCGGTGCTTTGTCTGATCGGTATGACTTCCTCTTATTGTCTCTAAACTCGACATCATGCTAACCTGCACAGTTATGGACGAAAGAAGATACTCTGTCTGGGTCTTGCCTGGCTTTCTGTGTGGACCCTAGCTATTGGATTTGGGCAGTCGTTTATTCAACTTACGGTGTTCCGTGGCATCCAAGGAATTGGAGCTGCGATGACTGTGCCATCCGCCATTGGGATCATCAGCTCCTACTTTAGTGGGGTTGATCGCACCCGAGCACTATCAATCTATGGAGCCTCGGGAACCCTGGGGTTCTGTACCGGTCTTATATTTGGCGGTTTCTTGACCTCTTCGTTGGGCTGGAGATATATCTTCTATCTGATTGTCATCATCACTGGGTCCTTGGGAATCATGGGCTTTATCGTCCTCCCAAGCGATGTTGCTTCCGAAAAGAAGCAAGAAAGAATGGACTACATTGGTGCAGTGATATCTACAGCTGGCCTGATCCTGCTCCAGTTCGTCTTGTCCAGTGGTGGAACCTACGGTTGGGACCAGCCGTTCATTATTGTGCTGCTGATCTTGGCGGTTGGTCTTCTCGTTGGCTTCGCAATCCTTGAGAAATACGTCAGTAACCCAATCATGCCGCTTTCTTTGTGGAAGATTCGCAATTTCGCCGGTCTCTGGGTTATTGGTTTCAGTAAGTTGCCTATTTTTCAGATTTGTGCTTCGGACAAGGCTAATTATAAATAGCTGGCTATGGCACCTACCAAAACGTTATTTTCTATATCGTCCTTATGGCACAGAAAGTGGACAAACTTTCTGCTGGTGACACCGCCCTTCGCTTCTTGCCCATGGGAGCCATTGGCTTCATTGCTTCTCTTGGAACAGGAAAACTCCTTGAATACATGAATGGAAAACACCTCCTCATTGTCGGATTGGTTCTGGCTGTGGTCGCCCCCGTCTCGAGTGCTTTGACTTCCAACCCTGAAGCAGGCTTGTATGTATCGCTATTCCTTTTTTGGATAAAACTATACTAACTCTCACAGTTGGCTCAATGTTCTTCCCACATCCCTTATCAGTATCTCATCCGTATCTTTTGTCTTCGTCACGACGAGCACTGTGGTACTCACAAGTGTACCGGTTGAAGTCAAGAGTCTTGCTGGTGGAATGGTGGGTTTTCGTTCCCTGCATTCCAACATTTATGCTAACATCTTAACTAGCTTAATACTGCATTCCAAATTGGATCTGGTGTTGCGTTGGCTATCTCGGCAGCTGTTACCGATGCCGTCGACATCCAGCAAGGACACAGTCTCGCAGAGCAGTATGCTACCGGCCTATGGTGCTCTGTCGGTCTAGCCGGGCTTGGACTGATAGTTGGTGTTCTTGCTGTTCGACACAAAGGCATTGGACCGAAAGATAGATTGGGCGCAGGCCCAGTTGCTATGTAACTCCGTGTGACGACTTTTTTCGGTTTTTTCTTATATAGATGATAGATAGACTTTTTCTTTACTCATGATGGATTTAGCGTTTAGTTAGTATGACGAGGGAAATGGGATAAATCTATAATAGGTGGCGTTTGTTCACGATATCAAAAGGTTCACACTTAGGTAATCCTCAGTACCGAGGAGCGAACCAAATACGAGGGAATAGCAAATGTCACGACTCGTGCCCCTCTGAGCTTTCAGACGTACATTCCTAATCGGGTAACTACCGCTTTGATATTAAGGTTGACTCACACCTACACCGCCTTCCAATTTTATGTACCACTTTTGTGTGTCAAACTCCCCATACAACAGTGGCAAGACAGTAGGAACCAGCAATTTGTATGTAAATTACTGCCAGAATTAAGTCACTTTTGTCATATTAACCACTTTATCGTCAACTGCTTCATCGTGAAGGGGCTAAATCCTATATGCAATTTCTTTTCCTATGTAAACCAGAAGTGGGCAGTACTTTTTGATTGTATCGAATTAGGAAGACGGTACTCAAAATTCAGCCAGGGTCGTATCAATCCCTTCCTCAACCGTTGTGCCAGATGTGCCCTCATCTATTGTCCGATGGAACGGATTCGTCAACAACACTTCGGAGGCGCTTAAGTAGTCTTGGCTTGCAAGTAATATAGCTAACAAATTAACACAAGTCAATTGTAAATAGCCTTCGAACCTTGGAAGCTACAATTTAAGGCCTTATAAATAAGGCAACGAACGTCTCGAACTCACATAGTCACGTGTATACCAGATCCGCCGCATTTGGACCAGGTCGCGATGCATTCATAGCAAGCTGTTCTCGGCCGGCATTCGAGGAATGTAAGAGAATATTTTTTTTATCGCAATGTAATTTTGGGTTGCCTTGGACTTTAATCCTCCCAAGGTGGTGAACGACTTGATTCTCATTAATCCTCATTGTTGTTAGCGCTGCTCACCATGATCGCCAGGAGAAAGGTCCTTCAAATGGCCGCAGTGGCGGCCATTACAACTTATATCCTCTGCACGGTATTTGTCCGAAGCTTTGGAGATAGAGAATGGCCCACCTCGCTTTCCAAACTCTCTCAGAACTCCATGGGCGATAATGTTTTCGAACACATACAAAACAGCACTCTTGGAGTTAGTTCTTGCCTACCGTCTGACGGAATTTATTGCTGACTTGAATATTAATTTCCAGTTTGAGCATATCTACGCGATCAGTATGAAAGAGCGGACCGACAAGCGCGATTTCCTCACACTAGCAGCCTCGATATCGGGGTTCAAGGTGGAATGGCTCGAGGGAGTGCGACCCGATGATCTACATCCTAAGGCCATGCCTGACGTATGCTTCCCAGTTCAATAAACCCCAGACAATATTCTCATGCTTTCTCAGGGACTCGACACCTCACCCGTGAAGCTCACCGCCGTGGCATGTTGGCGTGCGCACATGAATGCATTGGTCAAGTACAGTCACAACTTATTCTCATTTTTCAGAGGCTATGCTGACGATTGGACATTTAAAAAATAGTGTGATAAGCAATGACTACTCAACCGCTTTGATTTTGGAGGATGACGCAGACTGGGATGTGAGTCTCAAGTCCCAGCTCGGTGAATTTGCGCGCGGGCTGCACGCCTTAAAAGGGACCAATCAGGTATCCAAAGAAGCTCCTTACGGAACAGATTGGGATCTCCTTTGGATCGGCGGATGTGCCTCGGGCCCGAACGCCAACGAAACAAGCTTCTACGCTATACCCATGGACCCCACAGTTCCGAGGGTCCACCACCGAGCCACCTGGGGCGGACCCACCGAAAACTGGAAGCAACAATATCCAGAATTGGCCGAGGACTCGACGCGATTTATCTATCGGGCTGAAATGGGCTGCTGCATGTTTGGATATGCAGTTACAACCAAGGGCGCTAGGAACATTCTTTCCGCTCTTTCCATTGATCATTTGGATAAGCCGGTAGATGATGCCCTGAGTGAATTGTGCGCGGGTGCTAATGGGCGCCGCAAGATTGAATGCTGGGCTCCGTTCCCCAATTTGATTGGTACGTATAGAAAGGCTGGATCGGCTGCCCGGGATTCAGATATCGAGAGCAACAACGCGGCTGAATTCCACGAAGAGCTGGCCTGGAATATGGTATACAGCACCAGGCGTAATATCCACCAATTAGTTGCTAGCGAGGAAATTGTTTACTCACAATGGAAGGATGAAGATGTGCCATGGTCGAGTAAAGAGATTAAGCATAAGGAGTTTGTTTATCCTGGTGGATATCTTGTCAATTAATCTTAGCTCAGATTTCCAAATGCTAGTTACAATTCTACCGCAAAATTTTTCGCACGACCCACACTCAAATATACATCTCCGTCCGGAGACTTTCGCGGAGGGGCTGTATATATACCTCGGCATTATACCTTTGTTCTTTCCTAGGGTTAAACCTTGTTAAAGCTTGATAGTGAGAGAGTGTTGGGATCGAATTTGGTTTATTAGATCTTGGCTTTGAAAGTTATTTAAAACCCCCTTGCTTCTTAAAGGAGTTGCGGCAAAATGTATAGTTTCGGTTTTCATAAACGAATGAGAAGCCACGGTACTATATAGTAATTGTAGCCAATTGTGTAGTATCATTCCATACGGAATTCCTCAGCCCTTGGCATTTGGGATTAAGTTTCGGGCTTTTATGCTCTATCTCTATCTCATAGGCAGAGCTTAGAAAATTGGCTTAGGGTCGGCTCGGGTGGGTTTCCATCGGAATATTATTGTGAGGGTTGAATATCTTCCTGATATCTTATTTATGTGAATACCCCAAGTGGACTCGCAATATATGTTCTCCATGAGTGATACTCAATAGCTAATTGTAGCTTCAACTTCAACTTGCGAATAAATGACCATGGACTCTGTACAATATAACTCATCAAACATTCAGCGTGTTGAGTTGGAGATGCCTAGACACTCAACTCATGTGGGAGCTTTCCCCTTGCGTCGGCTCTTAGGTACCATTTACGCCAGACTTCGGCGTGTCTTCAGCAATTCTACTATGGCTTTCACCTCTCCTATTACTCTCCCTTTCTGTGCATTCTTGGGCCCTGTCACAAGGGCCTTTGCCGTTCTGTCTTCCTCTCCTCTTCCAAATATCGTCGGTCTGGCCACTAGAAACCCTTGGCTCTAGAGCCAGCGGGAAGAATGAGTCCAATAGCCTTGCATGTTCTCTTCTAGATCATGTGGCTTAAATATCCTAATTGGGCTCAGTGGCAATGAGAAGATAATGCACCAAAGAATGGAATGCCTAGACCGTGATACTAACGAGCCAAAATAACCGGGCCTCGACTGTCCTCGATTTCTTTAAATCTCGAGGATTTCACCGAGTTGACAGCGGCTGATACATCTGACTTGGACAGAAAACTTCGACGATCCGTTGATCACGATCCTAATCCCACCGATCCATTATAACTATACAGTCCTACACATGCCACGCTTCCTTGGCCTTTGGGGCAATAGCCTCAATATAGCTGCCATTTTGGGGGTGCTCATGCCGGGGATCCTCACAGTAGGCTACAATGCATCACTACTCGGGGGTGTGTTGACACTGAAGAACTTCGAAGAACAGTTCCCCGAAATCAACATTGCCGCTGCTGTTGATAAACCACATGCGTCAACAATCCAAGGCATTGTTGTAGCCTCTTACACAATAGGAGGCTTCTTCGGGACTCTCTCCTGTATATGGCTAGGTGACAGATTTGGCCGCCGACGCACGATAATGGCAGGATCAGTCGTCCAAGTCGTTGGAGCTGTTTTGATGGCTTGTTCAGGCTCTCTCATTCAACTCATCACGTCTCGGATCATCCTCGGTGTAGGCACTGGTGCTCTACTAGCCACAATCCCTCTTTGGCAATCGGAGATCTCGCCTGCCAACAAGCGTGGTGCTCACGTCGGCATGAAGGGGATATTCAGCGGTTTTGGGTGTGCCCTGGCCCTTTTTCTCGACTTTGGAATGTCATTCACTCAAGGCAGTGTTGCCTGGAGATTTCCTTTCGCTTTTGTGGTGCTACTTTCCATCGCTGTTCTAGTGTTCATCTACCTGTTACCTGAATCTCCTCGGTGGCTTATCCGACAAGGCCGACTATCCGAAGCTAGTGAAGTCCTGGCAGCTCTCGAAGACACATGTGTCGACGATCAAGCCGTGGAAGCAAAAATCAAAGAAGTCCAAATATCACTGGACTTGTTTGAGGAAAAGTCACTGGGGCAAATATTCCACATGGGCCCTCAAAGAACATTCCACCGAGCTATGATTGCTGCTTTGGCAATGTTGTTCTTGCAACTCACCGGCTCTACGGTCATCACCTTTTACAGTACGTATCCCGAATCATCTATCGCCATTTATACAATATATTGACCCATTCTGCACATTTTCAGCAACCGCAATCTTCGAAAACAATCTTTCCCTCAATAACTCAACATCCACGGTCCTGGCAGCGGTCTACCAGCTAGTTGGCCCCATGGGCGGAGCCTTCTGCGTTTTCAAAATTGACAGACTCGGCCGCCGTGTGTTGCTTTTAGGCAGTGCAATCGGAAATGTTGTCTGTCTGGCTTTAGTAGCTGGCCTCGGAACCCAAGCCGATAACCCTCTCGCCATGCGCGGTGCTGTTTTCTTCATTTTCCTGTTTCATTTCAGCTATATCATCGGATTTGGCGCAATACCATATCTCTACGCCGCGGAGATTGCGCCTTTGCATCTACGCACAACTATCAACAGTTTTAGCATCAGCATATCCTGGGCGGTTAGCATCTTACTCACTGTCGTCACTCCCATTGCATTCAACAGTATGGGACAGACATACTTTGTCATTTTCGCGGGCTGCAATGCAATGATGATACCTGTTATCTATTACCTGTTTCCTGAGACCGCCGGGCGCAGTCTGGAGGAAATGGATAGGATCTTCGCTCTTTCGCGAGGTCCTTTGGATGCTGTCAAGGTTGCCCGGCTTCTTCAACAGGGACAATCATTTGACTTGTCGCTTGAAAAGGAACTTGACTCAAGCTTCAAGTGCCCGGAGCTTCAGCTTCGCGAGGTATATTCGGCTTGATATTTACATTCTTATGACTAAGTCCAACATTTCTATTCGCGGGAAATAATAGTCTGCACATGGAAAGCCTCAAGGAAGCTTCAAGGTCCTATGATTCCTCCGCCCAGATGCCATTATTTTACCTGGACTGATACCAGACGGGATAGGTGATAAGTCAAAGAAGATAACAAATATACGGGTATGTATATACTGATTACTGAGTACGCCAGTAGATGTGTAGACGAACATGCATGAAGACCAAAACGTAACAACCTGGAAAACTTTGAATAACAACAAATCAAATCTCGGGTCAGAAATCACAAGCAATAGATGACAGATACAGGTAAGAATTTCCATCATGTTTTGCCCCTTTTTTTGGGTTCCTTTTTGGCTTCTTTCTTTGCTTTGATCTCTGGCTTGGTCTTTTCTGCAGCTTTGATATTTTCAGCTTGCATCTTTTCTTCAGCTTGGATCTTTCCTTCAGCCTTGATCTTCTCAGCTTGGATCTTTTCTTCAATTTGGATCTCGTCTTTAATCTCTCTTTCGGCTCGCAAGGTGATTGCCAATAGAATCGCCCCTATCTCCTTCATATCGGATTTCTTCGTTATATCCCATGGACCGTACTGGTTCATGATCAAGAACGACGAAGTGTCATCCGGATATGCAGCTTTCTTATCGCTTAGATATTCGAGATACTCTTCCTCATACTTCGCAACCGTCACCCATAGCTCATGCCTGTCTTGCGCTATGTGTAAGCGCCTATTAATATGTTAGCATATTCGTAGTTGACCCAAGAAAGGATAAATACATACAGGTTGTTGGTACGCTGGGCCAAGTCGTCATCGCTTTTGATCCAAGCGACCATTTGGGCGCTCTCCTGCATCCGAATAGGTACCATATTTAGCTTTCTTGTGACGGGTTTCACCTCAATGATCGCTCTGGTCTTCCCGCCAGGGCTATCGAGATAGCCATCCGTCCTTGCTTCAAACTGTGCGTTTTCAAAGGTAGCGATAAATGGCTTTCTGTGCAAGGTCCAATTCGAGTAGAAATCAAAGTGCATGGTAAGAGCATTGAGAAATACGATGAGCGCCGTATTGACAATTTGTTCATCCCTCGTGGGGGGATATAAAATTCTGTCCATTTCCCGTGAGATTGTGTTTGGCGGGCTGGGGTCGGAACTAGGGCTTGAGCCAGGGCTCTCATCATCTTCCGGCTTAAAGATCCGACTATGAAATGGGGGCGAGGTCTTATTATCGAAGTCATAAGATATGTCTCCAGATGGCTTGCGCGATTCTCTTGATGGAGTCTGAGGATCCTCCAAAGTCATTCCTTTCATTCCTCTAACTAGCGGAGGATTTGTTTTTGCACGGGTTCGGGACGCGATAGGCGTGTCAAATGTTTCAGGGTCGGCTTGGGGTTTGGTCTTTTCAACCTCCTGATGGTAGTATTTGACAATGGCAAAGTTTCCCTCCGGTCTTGCTCTTGAGGGCTCTCCTGAGCGCTCTGTTATGTGCGGTTCTGGGATCCCAAGACCATCACAGAATGTGGACCACGACTGATAAGAGCGAAGCTTTTTCTCGGCCTCTCTTATCCAATATTTGATGTCCGGTACATTGGTTATGTTTCTTTTGTGCGTCTCCCATATCACTCGGAGGAGTAAGAATTGGTCAAAGCCCATTTTGGAAGCAGAAGCAAGCTCTTTGTCGTGAAGTTTTGCTTTCTTAAGGTCACGAGAGGTTACCTTGTCGCACCACTCCTGAAAGGTTTTGGGTATTTCATCCCTCTCGGAAGCAAGCATTGTGTTATTGAAGAGAATTCAAACAGATAGGCAATATTTTCAAGAATGAGTGTTGTCACTGCGTAGGAATGATTTACAAAATGGGGATAACAATGCTCTTTTTATGCTGGGGTGGGGGGGGTTCTCCTTCAATTGAGAATCACATGCTTTAGTAAGGCTAATTATTGGTGATGATTTGATTTCTAATTATTAGGTATGGTAGATTTTTCTTTCCTTTGTCTTTTTGTGGCGAAGCATGCATGTAGGGCGAGTAATGGTTGGATGAGGAGCAATTAGTTGTGATAGTGGCTGTTTTGGTCATCCGAGCGATGCATGGTATCTTTAGTATACGAAGTCGACAGTTGGCCATTGGTTAAGAGAGAGTCTTTGTTCCCAATGAGGCAGGAGCTGTAGACACTAAGATTAGAATAGAAGGCTGCTGCTGCTTATGCCGTGTCGTTCGGTGGTCTGTTCGGTGATCTCCTTGGGTATCTCCTTTTTAGGTACACGGAAAAGGCGGGAAAGGGTTTAAATTATAGAAACGACCTTTCTGTGTAGTTATAAAATTTAGATTAGAATGAACTTGACCCTTTCCATGTCCGAGACAAAGAAAGTGAAGTTGGTACGTTGGTACGTTGGCCCTGGTCTTGGCGCTTTGGTCGCTCGGCAACTCGCCTCATCACATTTCCCCCCATCAGTGAACTCTCCGCCTTCTCTTCTCTCACCTCCCACTACAACATATTGATTGTAGTTACTCCTATCCAAGCTATTCATCATCTTCAAATCCCTCATACGAAACATGACTTCCGTGGAAACACGTGATCATCAGCTCGACCGCTGGCTTCTGATGAAAATCGAGCATGCAATCGAGAACCTTGAGGAGCATAAGCTCAACAACACAGAACTTAAGAAATGGAACATTCGCTTCTCCAGCATGACTCTTGATCAGAACTCAGACCTCAAGCCCCGCTTCTTCGCACCGAAACCTAACCTCCCGCTACCAAACGATGAGATACTCGATGAGGCCGCTGAACCTGATAGTGGTGATGATGACTATTATGCGGCTGCATACGGCATGAATACTTTCTTAGATTCTTATGCCTTCAGCCAAGTAGGCCTCTGGAATGACGGGCCGTGGCGTTCGATGGAGTAAGTCTACCGCTATTTGGAAATTAGAGTTATGTCGCTCTGTCTATTTATGATATCTAACGCTAGTCAATAGCTGTGGTCGATACAGTACTTATAAGAGCCTTTGGTTCTATGGTACTCCATCACTTGGCCCGTCTCCCGCATTTGGCGCTTTAACAATGATAGATAGTCCTGGGAAAGAATATCCACATTTTAAAGCAGTCATATATACCGACATGGAGGCGGATGACAAAACTTGTTTCCGTTCAGAGGTCTTGATCAGCCTTCGCCTAATGTTGGCCCAATTGAGAAAGGTGCGCCTGATGCACCATAAGATCGCACCGGTAATTATCGATTCTTCCCTTTCTCCTATTCCTTTATTCTATCTTTCGGCGTTACTAACTAATTATTCTATAGGTTTTGCTTATCTCGTTGACGGGGAAGTATGTACGGGTATTAGAGTCCTATTTTGATGGCGAATTGCTTCAAATTCGCTCTACCTGTCTGTACAAATTCTCCGACCGTGACTCGATATCGACATTGTACATGATGCTCGCCGGGTATATGCTCGGCCCTCCCATCGGAGATACCTCTTCTTTCCCTTGAGTTAGTTTGGATCGGGCAAGGTGTCACGGCTTGAGTTTGGTTGTATGTTATCGGATATTGAAATTGGTGAAGTTTGTCTTGGCGCTACTGCCGCATTTCACGCAGTGATGTGCTTGGTACTTTTCATAAAACAGGTTGATAAGTTGAAACTCTATGGCAGATCTCATTTTTAAGATGTTGCACCGAGTAAACCCTTACATTACCCACGATCCTCTAATATGTTTGAATTGGATCTCATGGTCAGCGCATATAAAGTTCGGCTTCCCACATACTTCTGTCTTTCCGCTTGGCGTATCATGACGGCAGGATGAGTGGAGTAGTGGAGTAGTGGAGGTTATCAGTGTGATAGTAATCCAAAAGTGGGGGTTCGATGATTTATGATATTCGAGAGCTCAAGGATGATATATTCTGTACTGTCAATGGCTGAAATTTATTAATTTTCAAGTTTCCAATAGACTATCAATTGCATCAGAGTCTCGATATACAAAAATGAAGGATGGGTATTTGCTATAGCGATTGAAGCCAGCTATGTATATATCCACATAACAGCGTACATAATAGAGCGTGCCGTTCAATAGGCATCATCGATATGCACATGGGATAATTCGTAGTTATATAATTGACTACTTTGTAAAATTCCGACAAAGATGCATGTGCCCGCATCTACAGGGAAACCTAAGACCAACGTCTTCTCCAAGAGTGGGATACACACTATCTTCATTCTTCTTTGCTCCATCTCGCCTACTGAAACTCCATTTTATCAATCGATCATGCCTTTGCCCGAGTCCTGTATTGGGAAACGAAGGCGAAATAGAAACGCCTCAGGCAAACCAAAACCAAGCAAAGCGCGATCCTGCGAGGCTTGTCGGCGCTTGAAAACGCGATGCGAAACCGGCAACTCGGACCGATGTCATCGTTGTGATGTTCTCAGGTAGGAAACCAGGTTTGATAATGTGAGTTACCAAGCTCTTATATCTAACTATCTTCAGGGTTAGGTGCTCTTTCCAGGCCATTTCCCGCAGTCACCCGGAACTGATGCTGGAGGCGGAGGTGGATTCTGCGACAAGCGGCGACGACTACCATTCGCGGTATGCCCTCCCCCCGTGCTGGGCTTTTTTAGACTTGGTCGATGTACTGATGAACAATAGGCTTTGTGCGGTGGAAAACACCTTGAGTCAACTTCAAGCATCACTATCTGTCCACAGTGATGCTGACTGCCGGACTAGACCAGGGGTAAGTTCCAGTTACCTAAAGTATATACTGGCAATACACTTAATTGAATACTCTAGGCTCCATCAACTATTGAACGAACTGCACGCGATGCACCCATGAATCTTATCCAAGAGATCCGACAGAATATCACATTACATGAACAACCATCGACCAGCGATGATAGCACTGAAGATATTATCATCAACGGTATAGTTTCCGAGGAACTTGCTATCGTGCTTCTGAAAGGGTGAGCATGCGGGACGTTCTCGTAGAACATATCCCAATGTTAACTTTCCAGATTCTCGAAATTATCCAACCGCTGGTTATTCATGAGTACAGACCCCGTCCAGCTACGCACCAAATCGCCGCTCCTGTTTGGTACCTGTATTTTGGCAGGTCTCCATATCACCCCCTCCTTGTATGGGTCATCAACACATCAAGCTTTGTATCGCCATATTCACGGACTGCTGGGCCAGGCACATCTTTCTTCCACTGCCTCGCTCGACACAATACAATCTATGTTGATTTTCTCCATGTGGGACCTGCGCCCAACTTTGGGCCCTGATCACGGTACCTCGTGGCTTCTCAGTGGCACGGCGGCTATGCGGGTGATCATGACTACTTCGTTTGGGCAGCTTCTAAAGACAAGCGACGCCGATAGAAGCGAACGAGCCAGAGCACAAGAAATAATGCGCACGTGGAACTTGATTTGCCTCTGTCAGTTACAGTGCGTTACAATGACCAAGTCTCGATCCTTCCAATGTCTATATCATCTAACACTAATCTTAGATTTTCCGTGGGCTCTGGTCGTCCACCGATTATATCCAGCCAGTACTTTGACGAATGTACCAACGTTCTCGATTTTCCGTCATACAATGCACGCGACGAGCTTGTATTGGCTGGAGTCAGGTTATACCGACTCCTTTGGGAAATCCTAAGCTCAAACGTGATACAAAGGGGAAGTGCTGTTTGGCCTGAAATCGACAACTTGCGAATGACCCAGGAGAATATTTACAGTGAGCAAGAAATATACAATCGCCGCATTGAATAAGCACTAATTCCTATTTTATAGAGCTTGATTCCTCGCAACCATTACGGTTTGCATACGCCTGCACGTACCTGATTCTGGCACGTCGCACACTCCAACATACGAGCGAAACTCAACCTGAAGGAATGACCAACTCCAGGATAACACAAGAGGAACCAACGCTCCCGTTAATTCGGTTCGCGATTAGCCAGTCGCTTCAACTCTTGAATTTATTTGTCTCCATGTCGGATTTGACCACTTATATCCATCCTGCTTACGAGAATGTGCTTTGTTCCTTTGCAATGGTGACACTAGCTGAGTTTTTGGTCCATTTAGAGGACGTGGGAAGTATAATTGTTCTCATGGAACAGGCCGTCTCTCATATTCAATGTGGAGGCAAAGCCGAGCCGGTGAGCCGGTGGTCTCTGAACATCATGAAGCAACATGTCGCAGATAGGATTGAGCAAGAAGATTGTGTGACTTCGACGGGAGAGAATGGCACAGGGATTTATATGCCGCAGTCAGTTCAAAATGCTACTGAGCCCTGGGTTTGCAACGAATGGGGCATCGAGCAGGAGTTCCCATCACTTGAAGACATGTTCTTCGGTAATGTGATTTGAATTGTGGAATAAATAGGGGATTGTTAATTTATCCCCCCCCCCGGGCCTGAGTTTTCAGTGCACATCCCTGTTTTACCTCGACGCCTACTTTCATCTACTGCGCTCTATACCGCCTTCGAATTTTATACACCGCTTTCGTGACAATAGACCTACAATTTGTACGGCGTATGTAAATTAACAAAGTTAAGTCACTTCAACTGCACCAACTGCTTCATCCATCAAGGAGCTGAGTCCTATAGTAATCGGGTAGAATATACGATTTTTTCCGATCAAAATGCACGTTTCTTTACTATGTAAACCAGAAGTTGGCAGAATATATGGTCTTACCTAATATGGAAGGCGGTACTGAAAACTCAGGCGGTCAAATTAGCAATCCCAATAAATATTGGCTCCCTCCCATTGTGAACATCATCCATTTACTCATATCAGTTCCATATATACATTCAAAATGCGGAAATCAACTGCGCTCTCTCAATCTGAGACCTGCCTGGCACTCCTTGGGCTTTTTCGAGAATCCTTCGTGTGATTCCATGATTGGCTGGTACAACGCGAACTCATATCGATGAAACAAAGTTCCAATAATTAGCTGCAGCTCCATGATGGCGACGTTCTGTCCGACACATGCCCGGGGGCCATATGAGAATGGGTTGAATGCAGTTTTCTGTCGGGCAGTCAGGTTCAACCAGCGGTCAGGCTTGAATTCCTCGACATCGTCTCCCCAAATATCCTTCATATGATGGATAGTATAGGAGGGCACCGAAAGTACTGTTCCAGGAGGGAAGTGGAACCCATCAAAATCCACACCCGGGCTATGATCGGCGACCAAACGTGGCAGGCCAATAGCCGAGGTAGAATGAAGTCGCATCGCTTCATCAATGCATCTTCGCAGGAACGGGAGATCCTTGATCTGAGAATAAGATGCGATCTTTGCTTCGGGGTCTATTGCGTGGTCCAGCTCTTCTTGTAATCGGGGAACTATCGTGCCCGGTGCACTGCGTTCTCCATGCAGGATCCAGTAAAAGATCCCGCACGCCGTGTTGGATATTGTGTCAGAGCCAGCGATAAGCTGCGTCAGAGCCTCTGCTATCAGCTCATCCCGCTCCATTGGCATTCCATTCGCATCTTTTGCTTGTAGCAAGCGCGACAGAATATCGTTGCGCGAGTCGACCATTCCCTTCTCCGCGGCATCCAGTCGTGATGCGACAGCGGCGACAGCAATCCCCGTCAGGTTCTCCACGGCCGCTACGCCCTTGGTGAAAAATGGGTCTGGGAGGTACCGAGCCCATGGGCGCAGTGCTGGAAGAAGGCCCAATGTCGAAGATATCTCGCCTCGTCTATTCAACACGTCGACTGCCGGGGTGTATGAAATGGGTCCTCCGGTCACGAGCTGCGTCTCGGTCTCATCTTTGCCCTTGTTTACCATTCCAAATGGTGAACCGAATGCCAGATCTCCGATTATGTCGAAAGCAAGGTAGCTGAACCAGGGCATTGCGTTGTATCGAGCAAATTCCTTCCCGTTGCGTTGTGGCTGGGAAGCCGCGATCCGGTCCAGCTGGGTTGTCCAGCGCTGTAGGTTTTCCGCCATGAATGGCTCAAACTCAGCGACTGACCTGGGAGAGAAAGCATGGGATATAATCTTCCGCTTGCGTGTGTGTTCGGCGCGGTCGCGAACATTGAACATGCCCGGGGTTCGCGCCACGAATGCTTCATAATAGTGACTAAACGTATTTCGTTAACACTAGTAATTTTCAATATAGGGAAGAAATGTGAGTTACTCCTTGAGGAAGCCATTTCCGTGCCCGTAAACAATATTCAATGCCCGTTCGTCGGCGATAGACACATGGTTGAAACCAATACGGACGACATTGCCGTGTTTTCGATGCGCCGCGTCGACTGCTGCATATTTCCGGCCATGTTTGGCACTTAATCCGACCCATATGTTGCTAAATTTAGCAACAAAAGGACCAGGGACTTGACTTAAGTGTCCATATGAAACTAAATAGGGGTATATGTAGTAGACCGCGAACCACACGGGGATAGCCACAGCCATAGCCCATGGCGAGAGCAAAAGGGATAGAAGAGCCATTTGATAAACAGAGTTGAATGAATTGATAGACTAGAGATTATTCCATCCTCTTCCTCTATTTTAAATGGAATCAGTTGCACTCAACATTTCACATGTTCACTATCTGTCCGACGGAGTACAACCAACACCGTCGGAGACGAGAGAACCGATAGGCAGAATCGATGTACAAGGACCAAATAACCTGCAGATAGATGATTGACCCCGCAAGATTGTAAAAGTTAAGATAGAGAATTGAAATGCAGTTTATTGGTTAATTCTTCGTGGACAGCCCTGAGGTTGTTCCTCGATTGTCCGCGGGGATAAGCGGCCGTAACGCGGCATTTTCATTTACCGAAATCTCCGCTCTCACGGACTTTTCTCTGTCAAACACTTGCAAGCATATTGAAATTCCCCATGGAGTCTCAGTCCCGTCGGCGCCGAAGGCCAGCTCTGTCTTGCATTGAGTGTCGCCGTCGCAAAATCCGCTGTGACCGAAATGACCCCTGTACGCGTTGTGTCTCCACGCACAATGTACCTACAAGCTTTATGGCGATCAACACAAGTCCCCCTTGCAGTCTCTAGAAGGCACCTCAAGACAATCAATACTGGGTACTTCCGCACCTTCACCATCACATATTCAACCCTTCAGAGATGATCCCCCGCCATCTAAGAGCCAGCCATTAGGGCCCCGCACCACTGGGGTAGGGACACCAACAGGAACACCACATTATGGTTCGGCTTTTCCTGGTCAGATTGATGAACACCCAAGGCAAGCACAAACTACAGACTCAGCCATTGCAGATCTTTTGCAACGGGTCCAGGGCCTGGAACAGTCTTCGGCACAAAAGCCTGTGCATGGCTTGTCCGAGACGGGTCGGGAAATATTTGACCGCTCGTCCCAGCCAGAAGATCTTCAGTGGATTTTCACAAAAACTAGAGTTATGAGATGGAGTTTGTGGATGAGCACAGCTAAAGAGGTACGGTATGCTTAGACATAGTTAGGTGTTGAAACATTCCGCTAATTATGTCGCAAGTTTGAGCCTTTTTTGGCATTTTATAGTGAGGCTACTGGAAAAGGTAAGGGAGAAACATTCAAAGGTGCTGAAACCAAAGCCCTTGCTGTTCAAGTCGGTGATCTTCTTCAAAAGTGCAAACACACAGCGAGAAGAAGCAAGACCTGGAGGCCTAGCAGATCACTGTCGAATCCCCAGCTTGGCCTTGAACTCCCGTCTCGCGAGATCTCAGATAATATGGTGACTTTGTATCTGCAATCTTTTGAGTCAACACATCGCATACTTCATATACCTTCCTTTCGGGTTGATTACCAGAGATATTGGAATGATCCGCAGAATGCCTCGAATGAGCTACGCCTTAAAGTTCTTCTCGTGATTGGCATAGGCTCAAGCCTGCACAAGGAGGAAGATACAGATATCGGATTCCGAAAAATGGTTCATAGATGGGTATATGCTGCGCAAGCATGGCTTTCTGGGCCACTAGAAAAAGACCGACTGAGTGTTTCCGCGCTTCAAATTGACTGTCTCACAATTCTAGCTCGACAAATTTTCTCGATCGGCGCTGATCTTGTGTGGACCTCCATGGGCTCTCTCGTCCACAAAGCCATGCAAATAAACCTACACCGAGATCCAAAGCATATCTCGGGGATATCTGTGCTGTAGGCCGAAATCCGTAGGAGGCTGTGGACGACAATTGTTGAAATGACGGCGCAGTCATCTTTGGATTCGTCTATGCCAGCCACTATCCCCGAATCTGACACCGAGGCCCCCTCGAACATCAACGACGATGAGATTGACGAAGCTACCACGATACTTCAGCCTCACCCAAAGGGCACTTACACCGCTACCTCATTCCAAACCTTACTGCTTGACTCATTACCAGTCCGCCTCCGTATCCTCCATCTCCTGACCAGCTTGAACACACAAATATCTTATTTAGATGTCCTTGCCTTAAGTTCAGAACTCAGCAAGGCGTCTCGCGCATACCACAGTTTCATGAAGGAGAACCAAAACTCCAGCATCGAGCCATTTCACCGAAACCTACTTGACTATCTCGTGCGTCGATTCATGATACCTCTGCATTGTTACTTTACAAACAAGGCCCGCACAAACCCATTGTTTACCTTTTCATTAAAAGTCAGCCTAGAAACAGCCATGGCTATCATGTCACCCGAACCAGATGAAGGCTTCTCCAAACTAATGGTCAATGGCGGGGGTTTATTCAGAGAGGGCATGCGGTGCGCGATGTCCGTCATTTCTATCGAGCTCCTGGCGCAACTTGAAGCCCAACACATCGACGGAACGTTGCACCGCAACTCCGGTTATATTATGCTTCTCAAGCAGTCTATCGCTGACCAGGTTCCTCTTTCTTTTGAACGGATCCGTCACGGTGAGACAAATATCAAGGCTTATATGTTCCTCGGCATGATCTTGGCTAAAGTCGAGGCGATGCGAACGGGTGCCGATTGCGAATTGTCCATCGCCCAGAGTGCGAAAAACTGTCTTGAATTCTGTCATGAGCTTTTGCTGACTCAGGTTGACTCTTCGTCCTTGGGGATTCCTGATAATGCTGGATTTGCGTCCGGGTCGAGTCTTGATGGCGGGCCCGAAGGGCTTGATTCTGCATATGACATCGACTTGGACTGGGACTTTCTCTTGCCAGATGCTGGGTTTTCTTGATACCTTCGCATGAGTGTATTATTCTTGTATGACCTATGTATATTGGTCTAGGGGGTCTTGTACTATATATTTTTGCTCGTTCTGGCTTACAATCTTAAATCGGCAGCATCAGGAAAGAGATCCAGTATGATGACTCAGCGGTCGTGTGTGGATAACTATAAAAGCACCCCTGAGAGGCAGCGACGCAGACCTTCTTCCATTCTTAGTAGTCACCCCATGGTGTTCTCCTCTCCAGCACCCTATTACTCCCAGTGACGACTTTGCCTCCCACCTGTATCGCAGGCGGGGCTGTCAGTGCCCCTGATGTCCCCGTTGCAGGTCCCCCCTTTACTACGTACATACGTAGCTAGTCACAATTACACTAATAGCCCCGTGGTGCACGGATACAAGTTGATTTCCTTGAGCTATGAAGTTTTCCGTATACCATCGGCTGAAGCAGCGGTCTGAACACGGAGCGGAGATAATCGGTCTCAAGTATTATCCTAGTATTTAAACTCCTCAAAGCCACCATAATCCTCGTTTCTAACACCAGCTTGCCTTCCACTTTATTATACTTCAACCACTCACACATCGAAACATCATGGCACCAAAGAAAATCCTCATCAGCGGCGCAGGCATCACCGGCAATTCCCTCGCCTTTTGGCTCTCAAAGCTAGGTCACAACGTCACAATCGTCGAGCGTTTTCCTTCCCTTCGAGCTTCGGGGCTCCAGATTGATCTTCGCAGCCACGGAATTGAAGTCATGAAGCGCATGGGTCTCGAAGATGCCTTCAAGGCACATTCAATTCCAGAGCGGGGCATGGAAGTGGTCAACAAAGCGGGCAAACGGCAGGCTTTCTTTCCAGCAAACGATTCTATAAATCCCAGTCTAGGCTTTAGTACCAAGTACGAAATCATGAGAGGCGATCTGTGTCGAATCATCTATGATCTGAGCAAAAGCCGGGCCAAGTATATCTTCGGCACGTCAATTGAGAGCTACGAGGATAACGACAAGGAAAAGACCATCAACGTGCGATTTGCAAATGCCACCGAGGACACATTCGACCTCGTGATTGGCGCCGATGGCCAAGGGTCACGCACACGAAAGATGATGCTCGGAAGGGAAGCCCCCGATGCATTCCGTCCCCTCAACGGTCGCTACATCGGATATTTCACCTTTCCTCAACCAATCAAAGAGGGGGAAGGGTATGTCGCTACCATGTACTCGGCACCGGGCGGACGAGGTATCATGCTTCGAAGACACAATGCGCAAGAGATTCAAGCATACCTCGGCGGCCAAACGAATTCAGAGCAGCTCAAGGAACATTTGCGGGGTGATGTTGCGGAGCAAAAGGAGGCGTTGAAGGAGATGATTCAAGGGGCGGGGTGGAGAGCGGACGAGATCTTGGGATATCTTAAAGACTCTAAAAACTTCTACTGTGAGCGTCTTGGTATGGTCAAGATGCCTCATTGGTCTCGCGGTCGTGTCGCGCTCGTCGGGGACGCTGCTTATTGTCCATCAGTCATGACAGGCATGGGTACCACTTCTGGGATTGTTGGGGCCTATGTCTTGGCTGGGGAGATTGGTCGGCACTGTGGTGAACCTGCTGAGAAGGGTAATGGTTCTCTTATGGCTGCGATTCAGGCATATGAACAGACATTCCGCCCTTTTGTCAACCAGGTGCAGGCAGGTGTTGCCGAGGATGAGGGGCTTTGGGATAAGATTTCAGGCACCGCTTTTGGCATTGCACTTGGAAACTATCTTATGGGAGCTTCTTCCCTTTTGAGATTGGATGTTCTCAGCAAGGTCTCTACGGATCCTGTCAAAAACTGGAAACTTCCGACATACAAAGAGTTGCTCCGAGATTAGACAACACCAACTGTGCAATTGTGCAACCTTCGAACTCTTCTCTTATATCTACCTGTATTTTTACTCTCAATGGTATGAGCTATTTGTTATATTTGCATGCAGTACATCAGACCATGGCTTTTCTTTACACATAAGCAAATCCATAGCCTCCAGATTAATTATCAGTGGTTCAAATTCAGCCTGCTAGAGATCTTGCAATAAACCTCTAATTTAATTAACTACTCAAGCTATTGATTGGCACACGGTGAGGAGTCCATGTTTTGTTTTTATTTCCCTTATTTACTATGTCGCTGGTCTCAAGCAGCCAGTAACAATACGTAATTCCTATCTGGGCTAGCTTAGTTTCTGATGGAACCTCGGAACTTAAGCCAGATTACATAATCACGCGGGGTTTGCCCGCCCTACAGGGCTTCATTTGTACAAGCGATGTGATGGGCTCCTCAATTACTTGTGCTCCAGTTATCGGGATTTGGCATAGATTATTGCCAAGACACCATCTTCCTGCACATAACAGATCAAGCACTTGCTCACTCACTATGCCGAGCCAGAAGACAAGCTAGAGACAGGAAGAACACTAAACAAACAGATATCATATTTGAACGAGATACAGACAACCCAATCTCACCTGAAGAAAAAAATCTCACCCCATAAGCGACCTGCAAAGCAAGAGATGTTCTTCACGAGCTAAATTCCCGAATCAATTACGTACAATCTCGGGGTTTGGAGGTCGGAAGTTGCATTAGCAGTCTTGGAAGACAGGGTGCTTATCCTGTATAAGCCTAGCGGATATCATTGTCTCATTGTTCCTGCGGCTTGGCCCGACACGGCCTACCTAGCTGGCTTACTTTTTGCCTGCAGAATATATTAGAACCGTATCTAGCGCCAGGAATCTTGCAATCAGTAGTCTCTCTCCACGTCTTTGTCAATATGATTGCTAACATGGTTTTGACTTGGCTCCACTGCACTCCACATCTCGACAGGCGATGTACCCTTCATAAGGGTAGACTGTCAAGTTGTCGAGGGGGTTGCTCCGCTCTGGAGGTCCGACCGTTCGGTTGATTTTAACTCTTTTGATCTTATCTGATCCGCCTTTCTTCGTTTTGGTTTTTCTTTCTCGTTGATTTTTATATTTCTTAGGCTGCAATACATCTATCTATACCAGTCTGATATATACCTCGCCAGCTCATGGATAAATTACCCAACGCAATGGCCACCGAGGCCCTCCCGAAAGACCAGGACCTGGCCGACCCTGAGCTACAAGGAATCTTAGAAGGGACCGCCCGATTCCGTCGTCTAGGCTGGAAACGACTCACTGTCATTTCGATAGTCGAGGCCATCGCCCTGGGAAGCCTAGGATTACCGTCTGCCTTCGCCGCTCTCGGAATGGTCGCAGGCGTGATCCTAACCATCGGACTCGGCTTCGTTGCCATCTACGCAGGCTACAGCATCGGCGAAGTCAAACTACGGTATCCACAAGTCGGTCATTACGCAGACGTCGGTCACCTTCTGCTGGGGAACGTGGGATCAAAGATCTTCGTAGGCAGCTTCGTTGCTCTTCTCATCTTCGTGATTGGGTCGCACTGCCTGACCGGCGCCATCGCATTCCAGACCATCACGCAAAGCAGCTCGTGCTCGATTATCTTCAGCGTGGCATCTGCTGCAATCCTGATGCTGCTCGCTATTCCGCCGTCGTTTGCCGAGATTGCGATTCTGGGGTATATTGACTTTGCGTCGATTCTCGTGGCTATTGGCGTTACGATGATTGCGACTGGGATCCAGAGCTCGAATGGATCCGGTGGCTTTGCTGCTGCGGATGTTTCTGCGTGGTCTGCTTGGCCGAAGCCGGGTCTTACTTTCTCTGCGGCTATCGTGGCCACTAATAATATTGTTTTTGCGTATTCTTTTGCTGGCTGTCTGCCGTCGTTCATGGAGGATATGCATACCCCTGAGGATTATGTCAAGACGCTGTGGTGGCTAGGCGGTATTCAGATTGTTATCTATACCCTGACTGGGTCTATCATCTATGCTTTTGTCGGGCAGGAGGTGCAATCGCCTGCGTTGCTGTCGGCGGGCCCTGTTGTCTCGAGGGTTGTCTTCGGTATAGCGCTTCCGGTCATCTTCATTTCGGGGTCGATCAATACGACAGTTGTATGTCGATATATCCATGGAAAGGTGTACCGGGACTCGGCTGTTCGCTTCGTCAACACGTCGAAGGGGTGGAGTACATGGCTTGGTCTTGTGTTCTGTGTTACCATCCTGGCCTGGATTATTGCTGAGGCTATCCCCATCTTTTCTGAATTGCTCTCTATTATTTCTGCCCTGTTTGTGTCTGGTCTGTCGTTCTATATCCCACCAATCATGTGGTATATGCTACTGAAAGAGGGTGCATGGTATGAGAAGCACAATTTGAAGCCTGCGATTCTGAATGGTGTGGTATTCCTCGTGGGCATGATTATTTTTGGATGTGGTACCTATTCTAGCGTCACTGAACTGGTAAGCCCTTTTTCTCTTATTATCCGAGCAAGATTACTGACTATGTTTTCTAGATTGATAAATTCCGGTCGGGGTCAGTAAGTAAGCCATTTACCTGCTCTTGAAATGTCGCAATAACGCGGTGATGTCCCTGCCGAGGTACTCAGATCTGGTTCTGTTTATATAAAAGTTCCTTGCAAACATATGACTATCGTTCCATCCAATATACCTACAGTGATATCTTTCTACTTCATCTAAGTCTTGTTTATGCACAGCGTCATGCAATGGTAGTTTAAATATAGCAAAATGCAAAATGCAACATTAGCATAGCATACATAGCATAAAAAACACAATAAAATAAAGTCCTTGGTGTCTACCGCGCTTACTTACTTACCTCGTTCCCTCATTACTCCTTTCAACCCCATCCATCGGATCTCCAACCCAGTGGTTCCCCTCAAAGAACGCCTGTAAAGCACCACCACTATCACCCACCAGTCCTTCTTCATTAAACATCTCAGTATCCAAAACGCCAAGCATAGGATCGCCAACATCCCCCAGGAGTTGTTCCCCAGCGGGAGCAGATACAGGTACAGGTACAGCCGCAGGGACAGGAGCAGGAGCAAGGGCAAGGGTAGGGAGAGGGACAGGGGCACGGGTAGGAGCAGGGGTGTAGTTAGTATCAGAGAACTCAGGGCCCGCCGAATCAATGTCATCGTCCGATTCACGAGCAGAGTCAGTGCCAGTCGCGGACGTCACGGCCGTCTTGCGTGTTCTCGTTATCCTTCTTTTGCGGGTTACTGGGGCATTCGTCGCAGCCTCATTTTCTGCTCCGGTTTCCGCTTCGGTATTTGCTCCTGCGCCTGCGCCTGCGCCTGCTTCCGCCTCCGCCTCCGCCCTCTTCCGTTTCGTCTTGGCGTGTCTTTCGGCCGCGTATCGGGCTACCTGTTCAGAACGGCGGTTATGCGCAATCGCGTTACTACCCATTTTCTCGGTTGGACGAGCCAATGCTGGCTGTTTAGGGGTTAGGGCACCACCTGTAGAAGAATAGAAATATTAGCATGTGATCTTTCTTCCAATCAAAAACCAAACCAAACTAGAAGGCTAACTAAGCCATACCTTTAATAACACCAGTCCGAATAATAATCGTCATATTAGGCCTAGGCAACGGCGAGCGCCTATCACCCCGAAACGGATCCGGAGACGGGTTCCGCAGTCTAGGCCAATACTCGCGAATAGTCCGCACAATCGTAGATGCGAAATTCAACGCGGCCATCCGCACCTCGCCAATCTGTGGGTTAGCAACGTTCGCAGGATCGATTTGGTCTAGGGAGAGATGGCTTAGCCAGATTGTTTCCCTGTCTCGTAGATAGCCTTCCCGCGTGAGGTTCTGTTTGAAGAGCTCGAATTGGATGTTCGCGATGTTGATCCAGTCTCCGTCTGGGCAGGTATCTTGTGGATTTACTTTGTCGGTTAGGAAGTCGCTTACTCGCATTGCGAGTGGCATGTCAGGGTGGTCTGCGCGGATTATCTGCACGTCGCCGTTGGGGACTATGTACGGCCGGCCGTAGTCGAATTTGTTTTGTCGGTCTGGGTTTCTTTGGGCGGACCTTGCTGGCTGTTGCGGTTGCTGCTCTGCTGGTGGCTGTTCTGGTTGGGGTGATGATTGCTGTGCTAGTTGATGTGCTAGTTCTCCTTCTAGTTGCTCTTCTACCTGCTGTTCAGATACCTCGATGGAATGCTGTACGGACTTGGATACTCCCCTCTGCACGGGCTGTGCTGCGGTCTTCTCTCCCCCTGTCTGTTCTGCCAGTGGATTCTGCCGTCTGTCAAATTCCGTCTGCAACTCGTCTTGGATGCAATTCAGGTATTTATACAGCGCTCCGCATAGAAGAGTGTGGTCCGTTACGTGGGCTAGAGTAGCGGCTGGTAATCTCGGCAGTCGCTTGCGCCACTCAATTAGCATTTTATCGCGCGACGCACTTGACCGGAAAACGTTGACGAGGACTCGGCCATTGTTCAGAGCGTCGAGCGCGACGATGTCGTAGACTTCTTGTGCTAGATCGTGGAGGAGCTGTTGGTCGGTGGGGCTGTATAGTATGTCAAGACGCTTGAATACGTATTTGTCGTCGAAGTTGTGTGGCCAACGACTGAGCGGCTGCGGCTGTGGAGGCATTTTGTTAGCTTTGAATGATGTATTCGAATGGTCTGGAATGGAGGGTCATGGAGGATTCTGTTCACTATTTAATACTCGAGAGGCTTTGTGACTGCATTGTGGCCTTGGATCTCGATATTCCAATATGCATTGTATCTGAAAGAGACAAAGGAACAAAGAAGACGTGATAGAGACTAAATTAGATCAAAGAATACTCTATCGAGGTGAGGTTTCAAGGTCAACACTATTATTACGCAAATAATGAGATATCTAGTCTCGATATTTTTAGATTGTTAGATCTAACTATGAGGTATTGTGGCGGCTGGTGTGGCCATTGCCAACCCGCCACGTTCAGGATGGCGAGATTTGATCATTTCCAAACTCGAATGATTCTAGACCCGAGAATACAGACAGTTACGATTACAGAGAGAGGTTTGAAAGAAATGACGTGGATATTTGCATTGATAACTCCTTATAAAATATGAACACAAAATTCATAGGTATGACCTTCCAGGCGACCAATCGCCAGAATCCATAGAAGAAACGAAATAGCAATTGCTCACATACCCTTCCTCCGCGTATTTTCGTGATTCATTTTTGAAATTTTCGTCAAGCAAGAAATCTTACGAGACGTAAGCCTTGCCAGCCAGGTTGAGAGTGCTGCCGCTGAGCAAGTAGTTCTCAGCGCACATGAAGTAAGAGTAACGAGTGACAGCAGACTGCTCATCCAACCAAGGGATCACCTCGTTGAGGAAAGCAGCAGTAGCAGAGGGATCGGCAGAGCCATTGACATCAGCGTTGAGAGCAAACTCGGTGATCCAGAGCTCGGACAGGTTGTTGCTGGAAGCAGCACTGGCGGCCTTGGTGACAAAGGACTTGAAATCGTCGGCAGTGTCACCGTACCAGTGAACGGCCAAACCGGTGATACCACAGCTGGAGCAGCTACCGATGAAAGACTCAAACCAGTCAAGACCCAATCCGGCGGTAGTGGAGGAGGTGACGGCGGGCGAGATCAGCTTCGCCTGGCCAGACCACGGGGTGATGTAGGTCTGGTAGTAGCTAGCAGCATCCGAGGGGCTCATGTTAGCCTGGGAGGTCATGTCGGGCTCGTTGAATCCCAGAATGTAGGTGCTGCCGCTAGACAAAGCGGTCTGGATGGCGGTCACCCAGCCGCCGAACATATTCTGGCCCCAGAGCATGGGGACGTATTCGACGCCTGAGGGGAGCGAACCAGAGAGATCACCGGCCCAGTTGTAGGCCCACGAGATGGTGCCAGCATCGGCCAGAGCCGACACGGTGCTGATGTCGTTGTAGGCGGCACCGCGCTTGCTCGAGGAGCGCTTGGCATGCATGGGGGCGGCCATGGCCGAAGTGGCGACGAGGCCGGCGGTGAAAAGCTTGGTGAAAGAGACCATTTTGAAAGTCAAAGTATATAAGTCACAAAGGAGTGGACTAGATGGTAAAAAGGAGGGAAAAAGAGAGAAACCTGTTCTCGACCTTGAAAGGAAAGTGAGGCTTAGACCGTGCACGGCACAGGACCAGAAGACCAGAAAACAAATGAAGGAAGGGTAGGTGGTGAAGAGAGGAGGGAAAGAAGGAGGGAGGCGGAGGGTTTAAATCCCCCAGGGCCCCAGCAATGTGTCAAACCAGCCTAACCGCTGGAAGATGTTCCAGTTCCACGGTGGAGTATGGGAAATGGCCATTGGATGTTGGCCGGAGGCGTCTTTGGCCAGACCGTGGGATACACGGCCTCATTGGCGCTGGGGAATATCCGTGGACCGTTGACAGCCATTGGAACCGTGGGAATGGCCTTCTCCTCTTACATTCCTTCACACGTGCATCGAAGTATACTCTCCCACGGCGCTAACAGAGATTAATTCTTTCGCTTCTTCGGTATCAAAAAGGCACACATCGGATGCAACTCCACAGCCAAGATCGCTAGTCCACTCCACAATAGCCTAGGCCCCGATCGGGTTTGTTACATCGGATTTTGTCATTGCCAAGAAAGAGTTCACGTCCTGGACTCTGTTCCTGCGTCCGCTTTGTCTGAAATGACAATTGGCTTGCCCCTGGCATCCCATCGAAGTATACAACGGAGACAACCGCGACAAGGGGGATTGCACGCCCGACAACAACAAATTGCCCTAAATCGGACGGTGGAGACAGCAACGTACCACGGTTGGCATTGCATCATCCAATGGTTTGTCATGGATTCCACCGCGCGGTTCCCTGGTTCTCCGTCAGGGGAGTTGTCCTGATAGGTCCACCCCCGATACATCATCGTCCGGGTCCTTGGGTGACCTATCAGATCACTGTGCCTATTGAACACAACCCTAGGAACATTGCACTACGGGGTACATTTAATTTAAATCACTTCGGATTGTAAAAGTGTGAGATTCAATCCGATTCAGTCCTGTGGTGCTTCAGTAAATATCATTCACACGTTACGGAGGATTCAACACATCCAGGCGTCAACTGAAACTGACGAATTATGACACACTGTCCAGCCGCCACATCAACAGTTACGGAGTAAAATGGATCGGATCGGCCAGTCATAGGAATCATAGTCACCTCCCTTTCACCGGTGCGTTCCTTACTTCTAGACTGGGGGCGTTGTTCTAGGGCCAGAAGAAAGAGGGGGCGTCTGAAACCAACCCCTCCTCCCCTCTTCCCCCCTGCCGATCGGTTGCCGAAAAACGGCCATGACAAGCCTTGCCGGACTACACGCCGGTGTTTCTTCTGGTCCATCTTGGGATTGGCGCCCACATCCAATGTTCCTCCCGTTCTCCAGGCATGTCCTAATTTTGTAGTCGGTTTTGCTTCTACTTGCTTCGTACTACCTCTCATAATTTGCTATGTATGTTCTCCCTTGGGATCATGACTGGGGATGCTCTTATTCCCGGCTCTCCTATAGGCTGTGGGGATATACTCGGTACACAAGTACATATACTCCGTACCTGGCACAGATTTACATGCCAAGCCGATTTGAATTTTCATTCATATCAGGGATTTCCCTGTGGTCCTAACTCTAAATCTCTCAATCATTCTTTGAATTTCATTGTACTCGTACTCCGTACTCCCCCGGGCTAATAGTTGCCACTATGTACATAGCGAGAATCACAATGATATCAGACTGCAGTCACCTCCGGCTGGACATACCTCCGCACCCAAGTACGCATGCCTGTATCTCATGTCAAAGACCAAGACTGTGGTTCTCCTCATCTGAAACAGACCCAATCCCACCGATCTCTTTGTGGTCCCGTCAACGTGGACCGAGACTCTAATTTTCAGCTCTTCAGGGCACTTTCTCGGACTATGAATTCCGGACTATGTCCTCCGCACGGCGTATTTTTATCATAATAATTTCTCCGAAAAAAAGAAAAGAAAAGAAAATATGCCCGTGAAGTTGTTCTGGCCGTGTTGGCAAAGCAATGTGGCTTGTCTCAATAGACTCGCTTCTAGCCCGGTTCCCACTTTCCCTGCCGACGCTCTGCCCACGTCATCTTACTGCGCAGAGGGCTTGGGCTTGGGCTTGGGCTTGGGCTTGCTGGCTTTGTACGAAGTACACATCTACACTCTCGGAAATGAACAAAGGAGGTTCATTAATCATTACTTACCAATCTCGAATCTCGCTTTGGTCTTTGACTCGAGCCCAAACTGTCGTCTCGGCATTCTAGCTACTTTTGACTAGTGCCCGGACTCAACAACGTGGACTATAGAGGACCATTTTTAGATTGTAACGCGTGGTCTTGGTAGGCACTCATCGCACTGGCCATATGTCGGAGTCGCCGGACAGCTCGATGACATGTTTAGGTAGCTATCGTCGCTGATACGAAGATGTCTTTAAAGTATCGATTATTGGTTTCAGGAAGTGCTGATCATGCATACCTGTGGTTGATATAACAAGTCTACCTCGTGTTCTCATGGGATTTATCATTTCACTATCACTATCTTCGGTTTATCAAATATAGAAGCGAGACGATGCGAGTCTCTATGTTCTCATTATCAATGGTGCTGGATATAGCACATCATCTGTTGATTTTGGGCAATTATGCATACTCGAATGGCCTCTTTATATCGGCAGTCTCCTCAAACACGAAGCTCCATATGTATTAGGCTTTGTTATGGACCTCATTAACTCCAGCCAGTTGCCTTTATCATGTTTGGTACCTGTTACACGGGTACTCGAAAGTGTATAAGCATTTACGGTGGTGTATGGAATTTATGCTAAGACTTCTATGAAAATTCTGTGTAGACCTTCCTGAGATTAAGATCATCATCGGAAGACGAAGTGCTGGAGTAAATGTGATGAGTATCATTTATAAGTATCACATTTCTTCTAGCAACAGCTCACACTCTTCATCATGAGAGCAATAAATTTGAACATATTCTATAATTCCTACTTTCTTAGAGTTACTAAATGCTGCAGTCTCAGTGGTTATTGGTGACGAACTATCCACTTGCACAACTTACAAGTGTATATCCTCAATCTAGCCACCCCTAACTACCTATAACTCAATATAAGCATTCAACAAGCTAAACCATCATATTGCACAAGATCTACAGTCCATTTTTACAAATAAAATCCCATCCAACAACTCTCATCTATACCCCATCCAATCACAAATACTGCCCAAAACAGCCCAATTAAAGCAGGCGGTGAACCGCGATGATGTAAACTATCCCATCGCATCATCAGAACAGTTCCAACCTTAATACCTATTCCCTCCCACACCAATCCAAACCGGCCCATACAACAATGCTCTCCCGTACAGCTCCTCGAGCTCTGCTCGCATCCGTCCGCCCATCCATCCGCACACCAGCACCCACCACCACTTCAGCCATCCTCCCCCGGGCCTACGCCATCCGCCCCAGCTCCGCCGCACAGTTCACCCGCTCATTCCAGTCGTCACTGGCAAACCGCAAAGGCATCCACCCAGAATCCGCAAACCCGCCAGCTCCAAACCCGCAGCCGGGCGTTGCCGGCGCTGCTTCGCATATCACTGAGCCGTCGCCGTTGACGCCAGAGGAGTACTACGAGTACTCGGAGCATTATTTCAATGTGCTGCAGAGCGAGCTGGAGAGGCTGCAGGAGGAGGGGTCGGATGTTGAGGCTGAGTACAGTGTATGTTTCTCCCGGTCTTTTTCTGTGTTTATTTTGTTTTTCCCGGTCTTTTTATTTTCCTTGATACAAACAGACCTTGTGTTGGCATGCTATATAAAATATAAAAATGGAAAAAACTAGCTAACTCTCTTCCTCCAGGCCGGTGTTTTGAACATCTCCGTTCCCGCAATCGGCACCTACGTACTCAATAAGCAACCACCCAACAAGCAGATCTGGCTCAGCTCGCCCATCTCCGGGCCGAAGCGGTACGACTGGATTGTCGAGGGCGATTATATGCATGAGAAGCAGGAGTCGCGGCCTTTCGTCAACGGGCAGTGGATCTATCTGCGTGATGGGTCTAATCTGACCGAGTTGTTGAACTCCGAGTTGACCTTGAGTTTGCCCAAGGATGTTTACAGTCAGGTCATTGAGTGAGAGAGTTGTCTTGCTGGGCTATCGATTACCTAGAAAGAAGAGATTCTTGTCGTTCCAGTTTTATTTGGGATGTTGTTACATATTGTAGTTTAGTGTCTATGTTATGATGTGGTTGCATTGAGATCTTTACGTGCTGTTCAGTTCTTAATTTGCTAGATGGAGGTGAATAAATGAGTTGGGGACATAGTTGTGAGTATCATTTGAGCTACCTGCACTGGGTGGGTATATAGTGGTTGTGTGTAGCGGGAATCAATGCTGAGGTGGGAAAAGTCATCTCATCGCCAATTGAACGGGTGTAGCAAAGTGCTGTTCTTTCTCTTTGAATGAACCCGACATGTACATAGCCAAATACAGTCTCAACCCGATGAATGAAGCGGTGTCTTGCCTCTCCAATTGATTGTCCAATGTAGAACTACACCAGAGACAAAATCAACGGAGCCCGAGTCAACATTGAATGTGTTGAGCGAGGTACGATGGGTACCCCAGTGCGGTCACAGAGACCGATATCCCCCGGGATACACCGAGTCACTTGGCAAGATTGGAAGATGCATAGATAACATCCGCAGCAGAACATCGAGCATGTTCGCGCGATCCAGTGTTCAAAGCGAAGTCCGGTGGCTCAAAGCCACCCAGACCCGGCGAGACACATCATGCCGTCCAGACGAGCATTCGCAGCCGGGTAGTGGAACAGCAAAATATCCCAACCCCTCAAACCACTTCCGCCAAAATAATTGCAAGTGGCAACGAGCCGACTCAGCAGCATGGACCGTCTCTTCGTCTGAGATAGACCCGATCATTTCAAGGGTATTCGCAAAATCTCCTTCATCTCGCACTCAAGCCTGAACAGCCACCCCGCTCGTACTCTGCGTCTCGGCTTTAGGAAGATCAGACTGTGCATACCCCGCAGGGCAATAATTAGCCAACCGAACAAAATAAAGCGACATATATCTAGCTTATATAATAGGGAAACACACCAAGTCGAAGATAACCCGGATCATCAGACTGCAACTCGGACACACGGCGATCTCTTCGCCGTCGCGCAAGTCGTCGATTGCGATCTCGAAGCGGTCGCCACATGGGCAGGGATATGTGTAGATCTGGATATTCGGGTCGAAGGTCATGTCTTCGATCTCGATCTCGTCGTAGATGTTCAGTCCGTCGTCGGCCATTTTGGAGGATTATCGCGTATGTGCAAGGAGAGATGTGGCGAATGAGTGGATAGATCTTGTGCCGTTGACTCTTTCGGGCAGAAAAACTTTGGCGCGGTCATGTGATGCGCGGGGTTAAGGCAGGGTATCCCCGGGTTTAAGACTTGGCGGGGGCTGATGAATGAACTGTGAACTTTCGTCTTAACTCAATTGTGTATATACTCGGGGGGTTGTGAATCGGGATTGGATGCACTGGCTCCTGCCATTTTGGGCATGCCATCTCCAAATATGCAGCTTCGATACCCAAACAAATACAGCCTTAGTCCAGTCGGTAGGCTGCACAATCACAAAGGTCATTACAGGTGCCAACAAAAGAAATGATTTGAGCTGAAAGAGATGGCCATGGGTTAGGCAAGGAGCATGCATACCCACCTCCATCCAATCGTCCGCCTGAGGATTTGTCTGCTCTACCAAACAGACCCCTGCGATGGTTCTTCTGGCTTGTCAAATACTAAATTCAAACATAGATGATGTTGCAGCATGTGACAGCAAGAATGCCGCGATGGAGGGTAGCCGGGAAAACAGCCAGGTTGACGATGGATTAGGACCTCGGTGTGTTCTCTATGGCTGCTGGCAATTGGGCTTGGGGCTGTAAGGAAGAAGTGAGTTAAAACCAGCACTGCATCAAGCCGTATCTTCATTATACCATGTACCACCTAGTGTACAGTTGTAGCTCATTTCTCTAATCGTGCAATTTCCATCTTTACTTCTTCAATCTCCCTCGCTAAAACCCCATAGCGACGAGCAATATCCGGGAAAGTCCCTTCATCCGCATCGATATCAACCGGATCAGACACCTCGACATCGCCATAATCTCTCAACTCTTGAATCGTCATCTTCCGACGGTGCTGCAGGCGCTCCTTCGTCTGCCTGAGATGCTGCCTATACCGAGCAAGAGCAGCGAGTGTTTCCGGCGTATACAGCGTAGCCGCAATCTCCAGTTTTGTAACCCTGTCGAAATCATTAAACAAACTCCACCAGAAAGACAACAGCAAGACTTGAAAGCTGGAAAGGCAGAACTTACTCTAATTTCCCCTCCACGCCTTGCGCCAGCACAGCCAAATGCTCTGCCTTGGCTTTCGTCGCGCGCGCCAGAGCCCCATGCTTCGCCCGCTCCAGGGTCACAACCGTGCGCTCCAAAACCCGCGCCCGCGCAGCAACAACCTCCGCAGCTGTAGCAGCCATATTCCGCCGAGCAACCGGCAGCTCGGACAGCTGTGTGTGGCGCAGCGCACGTACCCGCGCCTGCAGCTGTGACGAGAGCAATGGGACCGGCGCCATCGACGTCCGGACTCGGCGATCGCGTGCCCGGGCACGTGCGATGTGGTTCGCGTGTGTGGTTGGAGCGTCTGCGTCGGGCGCGGTGGCTGGATCTGTGTTTACGGCTGATAGAGCTCGTAGGTCTTGAACGGCAGATGAGATGTTTTTGGAGAGTGGTTGGATGAAGGCTGGGATGTTGGCGTAGAAGGCTTCAATGTCCGGTGCTAGGAGGGTGAGTACTTCGTCTGGTTTCTTGAGTTCGGTTTCTGGCTTTGGGGTGGTGGGTTCGATTGCGCTCGATGGAGTCTCTAGGTAGAGGGTGATTATGGCCAGGTTATCGTGGCACTAGATTTGGTATGTTTGTTAGGGATGTGGTTTCTTCTTGGTGGGGGTTGTACTGACCTCCGCCGGGAGGTTGGTGTCTGGGGCGAAGGCCAATTGCCGGAGCATTTGTTCCTTGATTCGCTTTTTGGCATTTTGAGTCTGGCATTGCTTCAGCTCCTAATGATAGTGTCGTCAGAGCTCTGTTCGTGCTTAAGTCCGTTAGGTATGTGCTGCATAGCGCGTCGACCACTTACTTCCACCACAGCTGTACGGGCTGGGCTCGCGCTTTGAGCACGCGTTGAGGCATCTGAATTGAGGAGCGAGGTTGTTAGATTCTCATATAGTCGTTTAAATTGAGGATTGTGCTCAAGAATTGAGGGGTCACAGGGAGGAAGCATGTTGATGTTGCAAAGAAACTGGCCAAGTTCACCGCCGAAGAAGACCCGACGCGTCAGCGCCACATAGACAGTAAGGAAAGAAATTCGCAATACAAGATCGTACATTCAACTACATACCTAATCCATGTTAGATGGTTTACCATTACAAGTACATATTCATTTTGCATTTCCGCGTTTCTTTCATAATCATACAAGTTGAAGCCAAAGCTTCGGTTCACCTCTTCCAACCGCAACGTCGTCGGGGAAATAGAGCAACCTCATCCACCTATCCTGGCTGTGAACCGAAACGGGAAAAGCGTACACTGAGGCGTAGGGGAAGGGAAATTCAAGGGGATGAGTGAATAAAATCCTGTTCGGCCAATCTTGAGCATAAGGTTCGTCGGTGGCAGAGAAACCTTGCCGGGTGCAGGGGTATTCGAGATCAAAGTATGTACAGACGTTGCTGGCGGGGATTGCGTAGCGCATTGCAAGCAGCCCGTCAGGATCCAGCGGTGTGACTGAAAAAGAAAGATGTAGCGAGAAATTGTTCAGAAAGGCACTGAGAGAAAACGACGCTTGGAACGCGAGGGTGGAGGGCCATCCCGTATGGAAAAAATTGGCGGGATTGAGTCCGAAGAGTACATTTACTCCTCCTCGCTCTCTTCTTCAGACGAATCAGATTCGTCATCGCTGCTTTCGTTGCGTTCAACCGAGGCCACTGGATCAGGAGAGTGAGCGCCACCCTGGAAACGAGAAAGGTTGCTCTGGAGCATGTTGATCTGAGCCTCCTGCTCGAACTTGCTCATTGGCTTGTTCTTCTTGGGCTTGGGAGGTGCCACACTGCTCGCAGGAAGATCGTCTTCGTCTTCATCATCCATGAGATTCGGCACGTGCTTCTTCACGAAGTTGAGCAACTTCAGCAAGACATCGTTAGGGAGCTCGTCGATGTCCAACTCAATTTCAGCCTCGTCGGTACCCTAAATCTGGATTAGAACTGGTCTGTATGTGGTGAACGTATAAGAATCTTACCTTAAGTTGAGGAACATTGTTCTGGATAATCTGGAGGGCTTGCTGCATCCTTTTATCGGGAAGACTACTGATACCGTTCGAGATAATCTGCTTCTCGTTGTAGGTGATAGCGCGGGTTTTGCCTGGTTGAGAGATCTTGCTCTTCTTGTCCCTCTTTCCAGAACTGATCTTCTTGGAATCCTTCTTCGCGAGCTTCTTCCCAACCTTCTTGGAGGAAGGAGGTGTCTTCTTTTTCTTATTGGTAATAGCCTCGACCTGGCGAGACATCTCGGCAATTTGCTTCTGAAGCAGCGTGAGTTTCTCGTCATCTTCCTCGCTCTCTTCTGCATCCTCGTCGCTGTCTTCATCGGAAGAATCAGTGTTCTGCTCGGGGTGTGGTTCATGCGCTTCGAGGTAGTCCGACTTCTGGGCCCACTTTGCGTTGAAGATTTCCTCCGCACGCTGGCCACAGACGAAAGTGGGATCACCGGGGATATTGAAGCGGTAACAATTCTTGAAAATGAGGCGGACATCGTTTTCGAACTCCCTGGCATTCTCGTACTGGCCGGTCTTAAGTTTGGATTGGGCGGTCGACAGATCCATCGGCTTCTTGATGACGCTGTGGTATGTGGGAATGTTCAAAGCAACGGGGTCCACGGGATAATAGAAAGGCATCACCCAGCTGTAGTGCTTTTGCTTGTGCAGCTCATCCAAGACTTCCTGGCAAAAGCGCAGTTCCCATTGGAACTTCTTCTTCTTTGGCTTGGTAGAATACGGGAGGTCACGCTTCGGGGGGTGGATAGACCGCTTGGGGCGACCATCGGGGTTCGAAGAATCGCGGCGGATGACGGGCAGACCTTCGGGTCCTAGCGCAAATGTCTGAGACTGGGGAGAGGAAGCCTTGGGCTGGCTTGGCAGAGAAGTCCGAGGCTCCCGGCGAGCAGCAGACGTCTTCTCAGTGTGCTTCTTTGGCTTTCGCTCTTCAACCTCTTCGGGCTTGGGAAGGTTAGTCATCTGCTTTTCAAATGTCGCCTTCAGCTTGATTCCCTCTTGGGTGACCAGGTGGTCTGCGCCATTGAAGACGGTGGTATTATTGACCATCAGTGCAAAGTCATCTGCGACTGCCTGGGGGGACGAATATTGGTTGTTCTTGAGCTTCCTTTCCATAGTTCCTAGATCCATGGGTTGGGTGATAATAGTGTGGTATTGGGGGATGTTCAACTTGATAGCATCCACAGGTTCCTTGTAGAAACGCGCATCGTGCATGCGCTTAAGGCTTGTAAGGCTCTTCAAAATGAACTTATGCTGCATCTTCGTGAGCCCTGGTCCGCCACCAGTGCGGGTTGGACCAGGTGTTGCAGCAGCTGGCGAGCTGTATCCCGGTGTCTGGAAGTTAATAACTGACTCGTCGCCCTCGACCTTGGTCCGCTTAGGAGCTGGTTCTTCGCTGAGATCAGCATCCCGTTGCCGGGAAACCTTGGAAGGAGATGGCGGGGCCTCTGACCCGTCTTTCATCTCTTGGTCAACGTGTTGCGGCGCGGTGAGCACAGGTGGGAGCGCAGGTGGTGCAGGGGCCGTGGTAGGGTGATGAGGGAGGTCGGTTTTCACGGCAGTCGAAACATCTTGAGGGGTATCGATAACCATTGGCTCGGGTGTGTCACTAGGACCATCTGTCGATGCAGGAAATGTGGAAACGTGCGCCGCAGGCTGTGGGGCGGACACAGCGGCACTTTCAGCCGCGGTGCTTGCTGGAGCAGGAGTGGTAGATACCTGGCCCTGTGGAAGGACGTTCTTGTCTTCGGTCGGCTGTGCCTCTGCGGGTGGAGCAGATCCCGCGGCAGATGGCGTCTTGTTTTGATCCACTCCTGGAGAGGTTTGGTGCTCGGGGGATTTAGGCGGTGAGGTAGCAACGATTGTTCCATTGGTGTTTGAAGGCTCGACGGGAGTGTGGCCATTGAGCGCAGGCGATTTAACCTCGGTATCCGTGGGACCATCACTTTTGAGATTCACTGTGGCATTTTGCGCGCTGCACGCCAGTCAGAACAAGAACAGAGCAGATATAAAGCTGATGCGCTTACCTGGTGGGTGGATAGTCAGGCGCAGAAGGACCAGTGGGCGAAGGAGGCAATTGAGGCTTGTCCTCCTTTGTAACAGGAGGAGCCTCGGGAGGCGGAGTCGCCATTAGGGTCGCGTTGGATAAACAAGAATACAAGCTAGGGAAGGGTGAGATGGTTGAAGATGTGAGAGTTATAGGAGAGTGTTTGAAAAGCTAGTGATCAACTGAAAACACCCGTCAGATCTCTGCGCGAATCAATCTTGCCGCGTCACAATCTCGAGTGAACAAACACTAGCGGCAACCAAAGCCACGTAGTACGGACTCAATAGTTGATGAGGTTTGATATCACACGTGTGGGCGCGAATAAAACGCGACGGGCGGGGGGATAGTGAGGTCAGAGATGATCGAGAGATAGGAAGAGTGGAGAATGCGATCGGAGACAGGTATTTATACTGCCAAGAAGGCGGTATGGAAGCGTTCACGTGACGTAGTAGAATTGACGCCAGGTCTAGATGACTTGGTACAGCAAGATATGGAGCTAAGAACTTCCCGTGAATGACTGCCTGAGGCCAATATTGATAAAAGCGAATTATGAAAATAAAATAATGAAAAAAGAAATAAAAAAAGAATTCGGGGTCTGAGGGCGGTTAAAAGGAAATAGCACCGGGTGACGCGAGACGCGTTTGTTATGGGCAGGGCGGTCAGCGAAATAAAAATAGGAGAAACCAGGACGGAAGCAGAAAAATGGTCGGGAGGGGATGCCAGAATCCTTAAGTACAAACGGCCGCCTTGCACGCAGTTCCACCAGCCACACTAATCCCGATTCTCTGACCTTCTTACCCCTTGATTGGTTCTATACCCCTGGCCCTTTTTCTTTTTCTTCTTTTCTTTTCTTTTGGGAACTTTTCCCTTTTCTTATATATGAAGGTGAATATACTGTTGAATATCTTTTTCAAAACACTGTTTCTTTTTGGTTTTCTTCTTCGGCTTTTCTATACAGTTCTCATAACCTTGAAAGTCGGTGGGCGCATATCTCGGATGACTCAAAGCCCTAGGGTTTTGGCTAAATCCGGCTTAGGCCGGGCGGATGGGAGTCTGAGTCACGTCACCACTCCATCTTTCACGTGACTATATCATGATGAGTACACGTATTGTAATTGATAAGAAATAGCATCCTTCTATAACAAGTACTGAGTACTCCGTATTCGGCGCAAGGTAAAAACTTGAATATTGAATATCCAGATATCGTAGAGTAGAGTAGCTCACTACTATTTGCTGCCAATAATCCTAGAAATTACAATCAGCACTTTGCATTTACATACTACCTACGGAGAGCGTAACTATGTACCTATGTAACGGATTTTCCCTGGAGGGTGGTGATTTCCTATTTGGGATGTCGCCGCTTTAGTAAGGGCGCACCACTCAGACTCAGGCTCTCGGAGTAGATATCAGCACGAGCTCAGAAGGGATGAACTCAGTACAGTCACGTGAATGATGACTGATACTATGTAAATGCCCATTGGATGCTCACTGATCACTTACCCTCTGTGTCCAATCAGGGAGCAATTCTGCTCACCATATGAGTGGAACAGCCCCATATTTCCCTTTTCTTATTGCAGTGGGGTTCCAGAGTAAGATGACTAAACCGCCATGTGATTAAGGGCACTCCCGAGGCGGAGATAGCAACGCAGACACCTCTCCACCTTTCCATTCTCAGTAGCCATCCCATGGTGTTTCCTCTCTAGCACCCTACTCCCAGTAACGACTCTGATCTCACACCTGTGTCGCAGGCAGGGCTGTCTGTGCCCCTGTCCCTGTAGCAGGGTCCCCTCTTCAATATGAAGGTGAATATATTGTTAGAATGCCTTGCAAACCAATCAAACAGGGGAATAAGATATTTGCACAGCAAAGCATGACTATATCTGGGCATTTACATGGCCATAGTAGCCGTATTTGG